AGACGATAGTCTTATTTTCCTGCAGGGAAAAACTTGGCCCGAGGTTCGAGATAAGGCTTTGCATGATCTTACGATTGTAAAGAAATGGTTAAATCAAAACTTACTTTCATTAAATGTCAATAAAACAAAATACATGCCAATTTCTATTAATAAGATTACAGATTAAAATCTACATGACCTTATTATTCACGAGTGTGGTGATCAATATAACATTGCATGTGATTGTGGTATGTGCATAGAAAAAGTAAATTCGTACAAATACTTGGGTGTATTTTTTGACGAGCGTTTAAAATGGGACGTTCACATTAATTATTTAAAAAACTAAATAAGGAAATTCATTTTTGCTTTTAGATAAATGAGGGACGTTCTAACATTCAAAGAAATAAGAATGACATACCACGCCTATGTTCAATCATTGTTGTCTTTCGGTATCATAGCATGGGGTGGCTGTTATAAAAGTATTATGGAACCTTTAAATGTTGCCCAAAAAACCATAATAAAAATAGGATTTGGAAGATGCAGGTGATACCCGTCAGTCGCTTTATTTGACGTCCCTTTTTTCTATTCGCCAACTTTACATTAAAAATATATTAATTCATATTTTCAAAAATTACAATAACATCTTCCATGGAATTGCACATTCACACAACACAAGGTATTCTTCAAGAGTTGGTATCACTACATTACAAAAAAATTATTTCTTTTCTTCAACTAACTCCTTTTACATTTCTCATATTCTGTTTCGTAACATCGGCTCTTATTTTAATGACTTAGACATCTTTGATTCACCTTCTCTCAACTTATTTAAAATCAGGCTTAAAGAATTCCTTCTAAATCTAGGAACGGGCGAGGCCGAAGTTATCATCTCAGCTGATTACCGGCGTGTTTGACCTGACCCTTGTACTGTGCTGTCCCTCCCCACCAGCCCCCCAGCCATGCGCACAGCTCCTGGCCGACACAACTGTATGGACACAACACAACTGTAATTTGCTCCCACAGAAATTACCTATCACCTATTACCTATTACCTATCACTCATTTCATGTCAATTGCATATCATTCATCCTCAAGAAAAATTCAAAAAATCTTTTTTTTCCGTTTTTTATTCAATTTCCATTTGAATTTTCAATCAACAAATTTAGGTCATTAAAGACTATATGCAGCCCAGCAGATGCACAGGCAGAGTTCGCCTATGTCTGCTGATTCCACAAGACCATTAATTACAACTAGCTACAAAATTATAAGTTTATTATGTTCGTTTTGCTAGTTTTAGTATAATTCAACATTAAGTTCACAACTTTGTTATTTTTTCTGTTTTTGATTATTTTATGTTGTAAACTTAATATTATAGTAAAAAGGTAAACATTGTACTTTGTAGCAAATTTGACGGAATAAATCATTCATTCATTCATTCATTCATTCATTTTCCACCGGCGAATAACACAACTCATATTCAATGCTCAAGTTGTTTTTTGTATGGTACGTGTTTCGCCATGCTACTGTTCAACGTCCCTCAGTGATGCTTGTCTGCGTCACAACTTCTTCTGACTCCTGTCACGCAATTGTCAGAGGTGCCGTGGCGATATTTGGGAGAACTTCGTCGAATTAATGTTTCATCCTTTCTCATCCTTCTTCTGTGTGCCAAAAATGCTAAGTTGCATTTATTTTTTATTTTGATGTTTTGTCTGCAAAGTAATCTATTATATTATTAAAGTAATACAATCAAATTTTATGTAAACGGTTAAGGCCATTTACCAAATAAAAATATAGGCATATGGCATATCGAAATGAAGCTTAGAGTGTGTAGATTTGCCGAAAAGTATTGATATGAATGAGCTCCGTAAGGTCTCTGCCCCACAGGCTGATTTCCAAAGGGCTACGCCTTGCATGTTTTGGAATTTGACGTTATTCGATTAATTTAGTAAACAACAGCTGGTCAATGCAATTGACAATATATTTTGTTTATTTAAATTTTTGTTTACTTATTTTATTATTTATTTTTATTTTCTTAAAAGAGGTTCGGTGAATGCACAGTGAAGCTATTTCTAGCTGTTTGATACAAGTGAGGGATTAAAGGTGATCGAAACACGATGAATGTGAGATTAACAAACCATGTATGTTGTTCGTTCCAAGAGGTTGTCACCGATCTTTAACGGGTTTCCATTTCATTGAAATTTATTAAAGTAAAGTTAAAGACGTCGTGAAAGAGAGCGGCGTGGTCAGGTACAACCGTACCCACCTTGGCGACGTAAGGTATGAAGGTTCCATTGCTTTATCGTCCGTTCAGATTACAATTTCTCGAACTTGGGCCCTTTAAATAAAATATATAAAGCCAAAGTTGATTAAATTAACCAAACGGTGGCTTTTGTACACCCGTGAATTCGCGGGTAGAACCTCTTGTGTCCTTCTAAATTCTTGCCGGCGGCACTTGATGGGGCCCCGAAGGAGTACTATGGACTAAACGGCATCAGCCTTGGCGGAGAGGAACGTTCTAACTTGGCTGCCTCTGGATTATGGCCCCCTCTCCGCCCTGCTTCGTCTCCCCTCCGTTGCCGTCCGCCCAGAAGTAGTAAAATACCGTCGAACCGCAAGTTCCTGTTTACTGTTTATTTGTTATACATTGATCGATTTATTTATTTAAAAAAAGGAGACTCTATTTAATGTTAATGTTTTCAATGCACAGAGTTTATTAATTGTTATTTTCCCTCAAATTCTATATTCAATAGCCTTTATTATTTAGTTTTCAAATTCTTTCTATTTTTTGGGCCCCTAAATAATTAATAGTTACCAAGGTTAAATGCATTTACTATGAAGAAATATATATTTATTGTTCTAATTTTGATATCTCACTTTTTGAAGTAAAATATTATTAAATTTCATTACTGAAAATAGCCATTTGTATGATTAAAGAAATTATTGTAAGTTAGTAGGCTAGATGGGTAACAAAATCAGTTAAAGTTTTGAGAGTAATTTACATGTATTGTTGTTATCTGTTAATGTTTGTTGTTTAAATTGGTTAATTAAAGCTTGTTTCTCTCAAATGGCGCATTGTTCTTGAACCTTCATCCTTTCCTGTTGTTAGGTAAATTTTGTGGACCGCTACTCGTCCCTGCACATAGAATCACGCTTCCAAAGTCGTTTTCCTGGGTGCAGGTGCGAGGGCGTGGTTTACCCCATGGGATAGTTGGTCTTATGTGAAAGCAATTTTTTACTTGTTGTAAAGTCAGTTTTAAAATTGTTGTGAAAACAGTTTTTAAATTGTTGTATAGTTGTTACAATATACAGGGTTAATAAAAAGTCTGGAGACCCCCTGTCAATTTTTTACGGCCTATACTAGAAAAACTAAACTATGCACACTATTATGGCATGTTATGGAGTACTTTTTGGGCATAACCGCCACTTCGTATACGTCCCCAAAATGGGGGATTTTGGGGGAAACTCAAAAATGTCAAATGGTAAGACCCATCGAGTGACCCCTCATTCTGAAGGTCCTGATAAAAGAAAACCAACAACGCAAAGTAGGGGTCTCTATCTCAACTTAGTAAAATATGGCAGTCAATTAAAATCTTGTGTTCTTATAAATAATTCTGACTTCTAAGGATTTTAATTGACTGCCATATTTTACTGTGTTAAGATAGAGACCTCTAGTTTGCGTTGTTGTTATTTTTCTTTTATCACGACCTTCAAAATGAGGGGTCACTCGATGGGTCTTTCCATTTGAAATATTTGAGCTTCCCCCAAAATCCCCCATTTTGGGGATGTACACGAAGTGGCGGTTATGCCCAAAAAGTACTTCATAACATGCTATAAAGTTGTGCAGAGTTTAGTTTTTCTAGTATATGGGCCGTAAAAAAATTGACAGGGGGTCTCTAGACTTTTTATTTACCCTGTAGTTGTAAAACAATTTTTGAGCTATTTTAAAATGTGCCGGTTGTCAACTATACTCATTTTAATATCAGTTTTAATATAAGTTTAAAATTGATATCAAAACAATTTTTCTCTCGTTTTTTTTGCTACTTGGGTAGTGTTCTTGTAAGACTAATATTTTATGAGAACCAAATGGTTTTAAGGCATCATACTTTGTGCCTTGTTCGGTCGTAAGATAGAGAAAGGCTTGTAACAATATTTTAACAAGTCAATTAAACCATAGACTAAGCTACACAAGTAGACTTTTCATCCAACAGTATTGTAAATTTTGAAGCTTGTTTTTCGTGTCCAGTTCATATGTCGACACTAATCGCTAGTGTATAGATTTTGTTTCTATTATTTTAGGGTTATTTTCACAATTTGTGCTCTACTGCTTGGTTTAGAGACCAGTTATTGTTTATGATTAGATATAGATAGTTTTGTCTGGTTTAACGAGGTTTTAAATGACTGAAATAACAAGAAATTAATTTTTAAAAAACACGACCCCTACAGTGCACCTAACAATAAAACTGACTTCAGCTGTTCTACTAAGGTACGGTAGTATGTTTTATCCATGGTTAAACAAATGAGTTTGTTTTGTGATGTTATATTGCTATTAAAATTAATTTATTAAAAGTTTGCAAGTTTATATGTGGGCAATGACACAAATCTTGGGTTTGACCTTTAAGAATTTACTTGATTAAACAAACAGCTTTGTATGGCATTACAAAAAAATCAAACCTATAAAAAATGTTGGTGAAGTCACATCATCTTGCTAGAATGTATTTAATTAAATACTACATATTAAATATAAATACATATTAAATGCTCTGCATATTTAATTATATAATACTAGCGTGTAAATATAAATACTACATGTATTTAATTCATTAGGTGTGGCCAACTTCACTTAAGGGGTGAAATTAATCAAACAGAAACCATTTAAATGTTCAGAAAAGGTTTTCATATTGTATACAGATGTCCTGATACCTTTTTCCAGTGGTACTACTCAAACTTTTGAACTTTATATTAAATCTAAAGCTTAATATATTTAATGTTAAAAGATTTGCTTTTGAAAATTAAGTTTCTACTTACCCTATCCATATACCACCCCATGAATGGCCTCTGATCGTCCAAGGCCAAGATTTTCACATTACTAAAGTTGGATGATTTGAGTAAAGGCCCCAAGTACTTTTTAGTCCAGTATCTGGCCACTAGTGGTGGCAACAGAGTGTTCTGTATTGGAAACCACGGACCAAAAAGCATTCCAAGGCTCACCTCATTACCTAGAGTGATAGCCCAGAAATCAACCCCGTTCTGTTTGTACGCTTGCAAAAATCTGAAACAGTGATATGTATTAGACCAGCGCAAATAAAACTGTGTACACCAAGATTTCATATTTGGATACCTGTTTTCAAAAGCAACAATATGTCAACAAATCATTACAAAAAAAGCTACATTAAAATTAATGGACTACGTTATGGCTACGTTCCGAAAAATCTCCGCGGCACCTAGGTAATCTGGATTTAAACTATTTACCATTATTTGAAACAATTTCACGATTATGACAGAGATAATGTTTGAATCTTGGTTTCTTCATAGAGTTGACAGTTTAGTTAATGTCCTGAATGTCCTGATATAGTATTTTTTAGTCCTTATATTAGTATTTTTTTTTTTTTTAAATGAGTCTCCAGCTTCTAATTATTTAATTGTTGATCGTGTCTATAAAATTTATAACATATTTGTAAGTCTATGCTCAGTCTTTATTAGTTTGAAGATAAGTTAAAATAGGAAACTAAAAACTACACTTGAGTGAAACACTCATTAATTATTCACACGTTTGCTGCTACGAACGTTCCGGAACGTCAGCGTTCATTATTGTTTAACGTTTCCATGGATCAGCCAGCTCGTCACGAGCGTCCTATATTTCTTTGCAGCTCGTGGGGACGTACTTTTCTAACAATGTAAAATATAGTTTCCCAAAATCACCACTAGTGTCGTTAAGAACAGGGCTTTGTCCCACCTCTTTCCTGCTAGATAGCGACACTACTTTACCAACTGCAACCTGGGTAGTGCTGCTATCTATCAGAATCACTTAGTACTATGTCCAAAGCCAGTTTTGTTGCAGAAAATTGGCATCCTGTATAACTACTGTTGTTCTTACTGTAATTCAGTGTATCGGCGCAATGTTACGCAGCGGCGAGCGTTAGTTCAGCTCCTGGCGCCGTCCCGGAATCTAGTGGTTAGCAGCGAACGTGTTAATGAGTGTTTTACTCAAGATACCAACCAAGTCATGTCCAGGCATTGAGAACTTACTTCAAATGATAGTTGGCCCAAACTCCGAGGTATTTGTTGTAAATTAATCCAAGTCTACAATTATTGTTGGTTTTCATCCAGTAAGGAGCTGACCACGATGAACCGATTAGTTTTATTCCTCTTTTACTTGCATTAATCGCCATTTTGAGAAGAGGGATCTAAATCAAAATCATTAATATTATACCTTAGAGCAAAGACAACAATTTAAGAGGACATTTGCTTTTGGCAATAACCTCTTAATTAATACAGGTAAATTTGTTGTTTGAATTGAAATATTTAAGAAGGAGGTCTAAACATTTCTTACAAATAAAGAGTGTCTAGGTAATTTTTTAGTCACGCTTGTGGCTTTTTTGTGACACATATGTGTACTATGTGATATATTCGTTTTCAGAATCTTTTTGAACTTTTGACAATTTATATTTCTTTTGTTTAGCTCAGCTGGCTTGATTTATATTCAAATGAAAGTATTTTTGACATCATGATATGTGGAATTTCACCTGAACTTGTTAGGAGCTAACAATGGTTTGAATACCTTCAGTTTCCAATTCAAAATAAGTCGATTTCTGCAACCTAGGTTTCAGCGCTATCATCTGATGTTCCAGTTTGAAATGTTCAGTCCATTGGACGTCGTTTAGTTAAAGCTACATATAGTTCACACGAGACAAGCACGGATACGAGCAAATACCGATCAGGATTTACCAAACGAATACATGTAAGTTCACTGGCTACGACAGGTGACATCCAAAAGGCACAACTTAACCTATGTCACAGAAATCTACTTATTTTGAACTAGAGACTGAAGGTATTTTAATCATTACAAGTCAAATGAATGGCAAAAAATTGACTATTGCCCATCTGACTTAAAGATGACAAAGTTACTAGTGATAAAACCATTATCATAATAATAAATATATGGGAGATGGGTCTCAACGAAGAATCGACATTCTAGTTAGGTATTATTAAAAAAAGTAATGGATTTATTAATTGATCCTACGATAAGATTCTAAATAAGTAAACCAACCATTGAAAATCAATGCTAAAAAGAAAAAGCTGTATGAGCCAACGATATCCTATTTTAAAGAAAAATACAACTTACAACAAAATATTGAATTAATTGGTTTATTTATTGGATCAAGAGGGACCATAACATTTTTTTATATATATATATATATTTGGAAAAGATTTAAATTAGACAGAAACATTCTTTAGAAAATTTCTATTGTGACATTGAAAACTTCAATATCCAGCGCTCGATTTGTGAGGGAAAGCGGCAGAATGGCATTTAGGTGCCTCTCTTACGGAAAGATAAAAATATTGCCATAAATAGGTACTAATCACATTAAATAGGTTACAGTTCCGGCACCTTTTTTTTTTTACATATCGAGCAATGTCAAAATTAATTAATCCTAAGAAATCCCATATACCGGGACGTGATTGAGCCATGCGAATACTTATGAAGTTAAACGGGGCAAAGCCCGTGGGTACAGCTAGTAATCTATATATATAAAATCCAATGTGTGTTTGTTTGTTTGTTTGCTTGTTTGTTTGTTTGTTTGTCCTTTATGGACTCCAAAACCGCTCGACGGATTGTAATGGAACTTTCAGGCATTATTAAACATTATTCAAGGATGGTTTGTGTGAAGTTTGGTGCATATCCGTCAAAAGGGCCCTAGTGGCTCTGGAGTTTCCCATGTTAACCTTATGAGTACTCATATTTAAATGGAATTAAAGAATCTTAACAGCTGGTTCAACTAAACAATTTGAATCTGTGATGTTCTGTGATGTTGTTGATAGCATTAACAAGTTAATTGGTTTACCAACAGGGTGTAGCACTATTTTTTTAAATTTATGACAATAGCAAATTTGAATCAAAAGGTGAGTGAGCGTAGCGAACGAACTTCAACCAGGACGTGATTGAGCCATGCGAACGAACTCATCTTGAAAATGAATTAGCATTTGACACAAAACCACATTATAACAGGACGATGTCTGTCGGGCCAGCTAGTTAAGTTATAAAAGGTACAACAAGATGGAATGGCATGACCTTCAGTTGGTAATCATCAGCTGTTAAGCTGAAGTGCTCCAATGCCACGTCTCCTGGGACGTCATCGTAGGTGTAGTTGTCAGGAGAGAAGTCCGAAGCAGCGATGGGGACTCTGATCATGCTGTATTCTAGGCCTGTCACCCCAAAGTATGATCTATAGATACACAATTTAAGGTTAGCCAAATTCCAATTGAATAATCTATGTGCATATAATTTTCCCGTTTTAAGGCAGGTATTCTTTTTCAAAATATACCACATACTCTATTACAAACATTTTGTAGAGGAATAACACTAAATCATTTATTTTAATAAAACATACTTATTATTGCTATAAACTGTAGTCGTATCACTTTTGATAGTAAAAAATAATTTTGCTAAGACAGTTTAATATTACTAGGTGAAACCCGTCGAAATCGACGGTTGGGGGCCTCCTCGTTTATATTGTCGTGTGGCTTCATTGGCAACAAATAATGCAAATCAAATAGCAATATGGTATTTCCAAAGAGAAAAACATACTGTAAATTGGCTGTTACGTAAATATTGACGTTTACATGCATTGTTAATCAACTTATAAAGGATAATGTGATCTAGTTTAAAAGAAATATGACCTTTCTGTCATGACAGTAGCTGCTTAAATAGTATTTACTCTTCGAGCCAAACTATCGTGTTACTTTCAATGATGTTACCAACCCAGTGGGCCACGGTCCGTAATATAGGCCATTGCAAATAATGTGTCAAGATAGGTACCATTTTAGGCAAGGTTTTTGTGTTTGGATGTTATTAGACACGATAAGAGCACACTGAACTTCTTCTGCAGATGAATAACTGTTGGAGAAATATAAGCCGATTCATAGATTAATGTCACAATGCGAGTTTGAGCATTTTGTAGTTACAATATGTTACAAATTATTAGTTAGTTAGTTAGTTAGTTATTAGTTACAATATTCTCATATAGTTATATGAGAAAGTTACATAGTATTTTTTAGACTGCTACTCAGTGCACTTTAAGAATATATTTTTTAGAGATAAATTAAATTATTTTTGTTGCTGAGTAGCGCTAGTAAACATGCACAACACTTTTTCGTCAGCCTAATAACATTCAAAGGCTCTCTAAGAGTTCAAGAAAATAACATTGCAAATACTTCCTTTGGACAATTCAGTAACTCTCAATAAATGTTGTTTAAAATGCTATTTAAAAATGAACAGCTGTTTAATTAAAAAGTATTATCCACATGGCCAAAATGTAAACAAATCTGTGGAGGTATCTTTAAAAGGCTTCTGGGGCAGAGCCCTAAGGGAATTTACTTTGTTTTTCTTTTGATAACTCATCTACAGAGCAAGACATTTCTTTGGACACCTCTACTAAGTTTCTACGCCCAGTCGTTCTTTTAAATTAGTGGAGACAAAGTTTCCAATTAAATATTTAGATTCCCCCATGTTAATCTTATGGGAGAAAACCCAACTTTGATGGAAGATCCAGCCCGAACTAATAAAGATTTCCAAAAAATAAAAACACTTTGCATAACTACAGATCAGGGCCATTCTTTTGACACTTTAATCATCAAAATCGGTTCAAAAATGAGGGAGGAGTTATGTTTACAAAAATCGGCTTAGCATATTATATATATAGATTTCAACACTGTGCAGCACTGTCTGTATGTTTGGGCATTGCATTTAAGTGAGACATTAGAGCATACAAAATTGCGGGAATGTTGCTGGAAGTCAACAGTCCCGGAAGATCAAATAATTTATACCTGTGCCGCTAGGTCAAAAACTACAATGTTTGCAGTGTCTGTAGATCAAAAGTCCCAGTAAGTCAAATAATACAGTCCGAGCTAAAAACGTGGTCTATGTTAAAGCAATTGACTAATTGGGAATTTGACCTAATGCAACAGCAGTTTTAATATAACGAAATACGGTAAAATACAAGTTCAGTTTCGCTGAGTCAACAGTGCCGGAAGATCAAAAGCAATAAAAGTGAACGTCGATTCAGTGTAAAGTAGACCTCCTGCAACGCTTACTACACCAACAAAACTCGCTTTTAGTTACTTCGTGTTTTGTCATAATTAGAATAGAGCTAAAATTATCATATTTGGTACATAGCTTATCTATTAATGCTTCTTGCCAACTGTTTGGTCAACACTGTAAATAGGTATAGTTTATGTAATGAAAGCCTTTCGTCAAAATTTGTGGCATGAAATACACGCAAGGACGATCTGAAAATTTCTGGTTATTATATACGTATGTAAAAGGAGACCCATTTAATTTTAGAACTATTTTATGAGTTATAATGTAGTCTACACATCAACTGTGTAAATGTATTACGCCTCGGAAGGGTTGAAACCTGTCCAAACTATCATATATATTATTAAAACGTAAATGGGGGTTTTTCACATTCTGAATCAACCAGTCGACGGATTTTCATTATTTTTGTGTTGAAAGAAAGATAATTTTGAGAACTAGGGAATGTCAAAGCCATAATTATAATTAAGGGTCCCAGTTTTTTAGAAATTAAGTTTTAATTTTTAAAAAGTCTAGCAGCCGACGCTAACCTTCTTAAGCTAGCTTTTAGTACAATATAATTTGCTTAACATAACAGCTGTAAACATTCAGCATTTGTGACACAAATTCAGCATTTGGAAACAAATTTAAAGACATATTTGGAGTTGACCTATTTATACTATGTGTAATGCTGACCATTGATACATTCAATTCTTAGGTATGAGGATGGCAGATTAATTAAATATGCATAGTAAAATAGTAGGATGTTCAAATGATTTTTTAAAGGAATCTTTGTTCTCATTGATTTGTTTTAGTCCCATATAATTTGTTTTAACTAACAGCTGGTTGAATGTAATATTGTTCTATATAACTATTAGGTTTTTGGCGAATTTCCCATATAGGGAATAAGCCATTACCGTAGTACTTATGGTAACACCTGGACCCGGGACCGATTAAATTTTTCGTTTTGAGGTCCCTAGAGGCCAAAAACACCATCAGTTCAAATTCATATATACAGGTGATCAACTCAAGGAGGCCACCATTGGGAAATCGGAAACGGTAAGAATTAGAGAAAACTTTAAATGGGGGACATTCCTTTATTTTTTGTGGCAGTTAAAAATATGATTTTAGTTTTTTTATCATGTTTTTGGATAGAATATGCAATTTAAAAACTTTTTTAGCCTTGACATTTTTTCGATAAACCCACTCGTTTAGGAGTACAGCCTATGGAAAAATGACTTCCGGTGTACATTTTACATCATGTAGCTCCTAAACGAGTAAGTTTAGAGCAAAATTGCAAAAAGTAAATTAGTCTTAGAATTGCATCTACATTCCTTAAAGACTAAAAAACAACAAATTTTCCACTTTTCAAGTTTGCCGCCATTTTTTTAATAATATAATTCATATTTTTAATGAATTTTGTGGTCTTTTTGGAATGTGGATGCAATTGTAAGACTTTTTTACTCTTCGCATTTTTGCTATAAACTTACTTGTTTAGGAGCTACATGATGTAAAATGTACACCGGAAGTCATTTTTCCATATGCTGTAACTCCTAAACGAGTGGGTTTATCGAAAAAATGTCAAGGATAAAAAAGTTTTTAAATTGCCTATTCTATCCGAAAATATGATAAAATATAGGGTGTTAAAATCATATTTTTAACTACCACAAAAATAAAGGAATGTCCCCCATTTTAAGTTTTCTCTAATTCTTAACGTTTCCGATATCCCAATGGTGGCCTCCTTGAGTTGACCATCCTTTAACTTATAGCCTATATTTATTTATTTATATATTTTTCCCGGGGGAAACCCCAGGACCCCCCTCCTTTTTGGGGGGTATTCCATACCCCCAGGCCCCCGGTGACCCCCCCCCCCCCCAAAAAATATATGTCTAGGACCGTCCTTGTCTTCTTAACCTATAAAACACGTGGGATACAGCCTTTCTTCACTGATCACGTAATGCGTGATTTTCTATAAAGTCTTGGGAAAATAAAAGGTAAAATAGATAGAATACAGGTGTACTGTATGTGGTTTACAGTTTACACACAAATATTCATCAAACTGTGTGATATTTTGTTATTGCAAAGAACAAATTGGGAGTATCGTATTGTTTAAGTCGATGGAAAATCTCTGTTGATCCTGTTTTACAAGCAAACCAAAAAGATACAGTAGTCACCACTCTATGCGACATATTCTAACCAGAAAATTGTAATCGTATGATTCTATAAGCATTGGTAGGATTGCAAAGTACTACACAAACATTATTTCAAGGGTAATAACAGTCACAATTTCCGCTGACTTTAAAAGAGTCAACTAAAATATTATACTAATGGACACACAACTAAATGGAACAACTAATGGAAATACTCCCGATGTACATATAACAGTTCGATATAAAGCATTGAGTATACACGTCAGTAGTCATAGTCATAGTCATAGTCAAGAATCTTTATTCATAGTATTCATGTTATATAGGGTGTTAAAATCATATTTTTAACTACCACAAAAATAAAGGAATGTCCCCCATTTTAAGTTTTCTCTAATTCTTAACGTTTCCGATATCCCAATGGTGGCCTCCTTGAGTTGACCATCCTTTAACTTATAGCCTATATTTATTTATTTATATATTTTTCCCGGGGGAAACCCCAGGACCCCCCTCCTTTTTGGGGGGTATTCCATACCCCCAGGCCCCCGGTGACCCCCCCCCCAAAAAATATATGTCTAGGACCGTCCTTGTCTTCTTAACCTATAAAACACGTGGGATACAGCCTTTCTTCACTGATCACGTAATGCGTGATTTTCTATAAAGTCTTGGGAAAATAAAAGGTAAAATTGATAGAATACAGGTGTACTGTATGTGGTTTACAGTTTACACACAAATATTCATCAAACTGTGTGATATTTTGTTATTGCAAAGAACAAATTGGGAGTATCGTATTGTTTAAGTCGATGGAAAATCTCTGTTGATCCTGTTTTACAAGCAAACCAAAAAGATACAGTAGTCACCAGTCCCAAAATTGCTAAGACTACAGCCAGTCTGATATGATTACAGTGGCTGTAGTTAAATGGCCACGATAATCTATGAGGATTAGGAAGGCCCGCATTAGTACGATCGTTTACAGTTCTGGTTTGAAAATATTTGATTCCAAACAAACATTTCAGTCATGATCTGCAGAAAAATCATCCTATGAACAGCAGATACATCAAAGTATCACAGTATCTTCAATCGGACACATACTTTCTCCCATTAGCTTGTCAACAACCTTTATCATGGGTAAGCGATGAGAGTAACTAAGTGTGATATTTAATAGGTAAAACCACAAAAGCTGCATTCACTTTTGAACCGTAATTTTTACAGGAATGGGGGGGCTGCACTATTTTGTTTAGAATTATAAGGACCATAACAGACGAATTTCAACCAGAATTGGTTTTTTAAAATCCATTTTTCTGTTTTTTCATGGGTTTTTATAGGAAATGACAATTTATAAGTTACAATAACTTTTGAACCGTAATTTTTACAGCAATAGGGGGTTGCACTATGTTGTTGAGAATTTGAACTACCATCACATAATAATTTCAATCAAAACCGGCTTTTTTCAAAAATATGATTTTCTTTCATTTTATGGGGTTATTAATGGGAAAGTAAAATAATTTACAATAACTTTTGAACCGTAATTTTTACAGAAATATGAGTTCTATCATTTTGTTCAGAATTTAAAGGGCTACAACATACTAAATTGTTATCAAAATCGTTCAAGCCATAATCTGAATTTTCCGTTATTTTATGGGTTTTTATGGAAAAATCTACATTCAAAATCATTTAAAATACATGCCAAATTTAATCAAAATCAGACCACATGCGTGGTGTATAGCTCTTTACACACACACACACACACACACACAGACATCGAAAACAATACTTTCTCCATAAACCATAGGAGGATAAAGTAAAAATTAAGGGAGAAAATCAAATAACAACTATGTTTTTTTTCAATAAAAATTTTGGTTACTTGATTCAATTAAATTATATTGCACCAAAACAAACCTAAAATGTTAGTGTAAATTGTTAAACTTTAAAATTAAAAAAAATAAGCCAAAAATTAAAATGACGACTCAGACATTCTCTTCTTCTCAAAAATTATCTTTTATTTAATAGAGAAACCTTTAAAATCTGTCAAATGGTTGATTCAGAAACTTTGGGCAATAAACACCCTTCACCTTCACGTTTTAAATGTATAATATGGGATGTAGGAATAGCATGGCAAGCAAAGAAAAAGGCTTCATTAGTCTACTATCTTTGTTGTTAGATATGATTCCCCAACATTAACTTAACCAAACAATGAAATAAATTAGTTGATATCTTACTCTATAAGGTTCTGTTGAGCGGCTAAAGGAAGAGAGGTGATCATAATTCCTGCCCCTGCAGTCATGGAGGCTCCGAATCCTTCAAAAGTCTGATATTGTACACCAGAGTTTATTCTTACGAATACATCTGAAAAAAAAACACCAAATGCTGTATAGTAAGTAAAACAACTGGCCAATATTTCAGTAAATGGGTTTGGAACCAAAATTGGAGTGGCAGGGGTCATTGCTGCTGGTTATGAGTATGACAACTATTAATTTCCATTGACCACAAATATAATAAAATATAGACTGTCAAAGGAAGGTTCCGCAATGTGCCGCTTGATTTTCGATTTGCTGCCGTCGTCGGCTCCTCGCCGTTTGCTACCAGCAGACGCTGCAGCGGTGTGCACCGTACCGTAACTACACGGCCGGCAAACCTAATGGTGGACGCCAGAACTCGTGCTAACCGCAGCACAGCTGACGGTCTACATTTATTCTATTTGTCTATGATATACACATGCTAAAGCAAATGCTATCTGGTAAAAACTCCTGGTCTACATACCAGGATAACAAAGACAACTGAATATAATGCGTAGATTATAAAGCAACTGTTCATACTACCTTTAGAGGTTTGTATTTCTGCTGCCAATTATTCTGTATAGACAGGTGCCTGTCACAAACCTATTAGTAGTGCTAGATAAATTTTTGTAAAAGAAATGAAAAATGTTCATTTTGTTTGTTATTTTTTGTGCACCAATTGGACCTCGTGGACAAGTTTTGTAAACTTGGCGAGACCAAGCTGTTTTATTATCATAAATAAATGTAATTGAATTTTAATTTCACTTTTCAGTCAGGTTATACGGAGTATGTTTAATCTATGGTTATACTTAGTGGATTATTCAGCCTACATAGCAAGCATGAAGCTGCACTTGCAATTAATTGCTTTGAAATTAGCCTTGCAGATGCAAATAAAAGTTTTCTCTCCTGAAAATTCTTTTACGATTAAAATATCAAAGCAAGCACATTTTAGTGGAGGTTTCTTATTAACTTAAAATTGTCAGCGACAGCTGGCTAACGTAAGAAGTTAGAACTTGTACCATACCCTTAGAACTTCCAAGTGTTGAGTTCCTTGCAGAGTCCATAAACCGTCCTTTATCCATAGTAAACCCAGGAGAAGTACTAGATGTGCTGTAATGGTAGTAAGAGCCTCTGGGAAGAGCTTTAGGCTGCTCAATCGTATCACAATACGTAGCATTGCATACGCAAATGTAGCCTGCTTCTGCATCCCGAACATTACAGGGGATGTTTTCCGATGAAGATAACTGCCCTGCAACATTTATGAAGATAAGAGTTTGAATCCAATAACTTAGCTAAGCAAAGTGTGAAGGTTATATGAAGGTTAATTTAATGAGTTTTGAAGTAAGATCTTAGAATAATGATCAGAACTAGACATTCCATTCCTATGTTAAAGTTATAGCCAGTTTCAGGATAAAAATTAACGTGGTCGAATTGGGCCGATAGATTTTTCAAAGCCAATTTGTGATTTCTGTTAAATACACAAACTTTTTAACCAAGGAAATATAAATAAAACCCTTACTGAAAACCAAACCATATTTTATGTAAATAATCTATCAAAGTACAAGAAAAATAAGAAAGAAAATATAATTTTGACAGGGCACACTCTGTGGGAGCTCCATTCAACTACGATATATTTTCTATTTGGGAAAAAATTGCTACAACTGAGCAACTATTTAAACAAGTCAGTTACTGCAAGATAAGAGCATTTCTCTTAAAGCCAGGAATGCTGAGACGAAGTTGCTGTGACCCACACAAGCATGTTTCACAGCACACGAATGTTTTGATGCATTGCACAACGTCCAATGATACCTAAAGTCAGTGTCATAACGTCCAAAATAAAATGTTTGAGCTGTTTCACGACATCCAATATAAAATATTTGATTGTTGCACGACATCCAAATATTACCATGTCCAAAAGTACAGTAACTGAAATAAATATAGTCTTTCTACAAGCTCTGGACGTCATGATATTGGTCCCAACAGCACACTTTACACTTCAATTCAATTCAATTAAATTCAAATTCTCTTTATTCATTCACAGTAACTTACAAGTTTTATACAATGAATAGCGTCAAATAAATATAAAGATGAATTATGCTTTACTTATTGCTAAAACAATCATTATCTTTTCAAAACAAATTTAAAGCTTAAGAAGAATAACAAAACAAAATTAAATCAAATCATCTTCCTAAACTATCATTTATGATTTCTCTTGAATTCCAAAATTCATCCAAAGAATACAAAGACAATGAAAGGAGATAATCTTTCAATCTTTTTTTAAAAACGTCAAAACTTTTTTCCTCTATTATAACTTTAGGTAAATTAAATAAGAATTTTATGCCAATGAAACTACATTTCTTCTCAAAAAACTTTAATTTATGTCGTTCAACCTGCCTAGTATGCCTTAATTTATAGTGTCGAATATTTGTACTATTAGTTTGGAGGTTTAATTTTTTTATATGTAATATAGTTTCATAAATATACAAGTCATAACACCTAATTTAGAAAAGAATGGTTTCATTGATTGGCGTTTATTTTTAATTTTGAAAATAATTCGGAGTGCCTTTTTTTGATGATGAAGAATTTTATCCAAATTTTTCTGGGTAGTTCCTCCATAAATTGCTATACCATAGGATATGTGAGAATTTATTAATGCAAAGTATATGGTTTTTAAAGTATCAATATCACACACCCTTGACATTTGTCGCAGGGCATATCTACCTTTTGACATTTTGTCAATTACATGCTCAACATGCTTATCCCAATTTAGGTTTTGATCCAATATCAATCCGAGAAATTTTGTATACTCCACTTGACTCAAGTTTGAATTATCAAGGTAAATATTCGGGTTCAATTTACATCTTGATTGTTTTGTGGAGAATGATATAAAATTTGATTTACTGTAATTTATTAGAGATTTTTGCTGGTTGAGAAATCATTAATAAAATTGATAAAAGATTTAGAAAAGATTTTAGTTCAACTTCCTCTTGGGAATTGCCTGTAACTGTGATGTTGGTGTCATCAGCATAAAGACACACTGAACTTCCTCCATCGACAGCTAGTGGGAACCCCCTCATATAACAAAGAAATAAAAGAGGGCCCAAAATAGATCCCTGGGGGACACCATATTTAATATTTTTATACTCAGAGTAAATATTTTGAGTATAAGAGTATTTATTATTTGGGTGGCAGAAATTATGCTGTATTTGGACACATTGTTGCCTTCCTTGCAAGTATGAACTGAACCACTTAAGCTCTTTATTATTTATATTTAAGCCGTAAAGAATTTCTATCAATTTCTTATGTGAAACAGAGTCAAATGCTTTTGAAAAGTCGAGAAAAATTCCAATTACCTTCTCATTTCTGTCAATGGAGTCAATTACTGATTCAATAAAATCAATACCAGCAGTTATCGTAGATTTTCCCTGTCGGAAGCCATGTTGCTCGGGATCCAACAAATTGTTTGATTCAAGGAAGGGTAAAAGCTGGTTATATACTACTTTTTCATAAATTTTTGAAAACACAGGCAATAACGAGATTGGTCTATAACTTGTGGGATCAAATTCGTCCCCCTTTTTATAGACTGGTACTATTTTGCTAACTTTTAATTTATGAGGAAAGATACCGCAAATTAAAGAGGAATTTATGATATGAGTTAATGGTTTTGATATAAGAGGAAAAGCATGTTTAGCACTCTTAAAAAAGTAGCAGTTGCAAGTTCAAAGCTTGCTGCCAGTTGCACGACATCCAGAGCACCTGCACTCTTTGAGTACTGCTTTACCGTCTAGTGCATACTAACCTAACTTAACCTAATCTAACCATTGTCTGTATGCAGAAGCTTTGATCGTCATGCAACAGCGCTGAGCTATTGGACATGGTGCAACTGGCAGCGGCTTTGGACGTGGTGCTACTGCTAAGTTTTTAAGTGTATAAAGTGCGCTGTTGGACGACGACCAATCCCATGATGTCCAAAGCTTGTAGAAAGACTATATTTATTGCTGTTGCTGTACTTGGACATGGTGAGGTTTGGACATCGTGAAACCGGTCAAAAATTATATTTTGGATGTCGTGACACTGACTTATATCATTGAATGTCGTGACATTTGGACGTCTCATTGTGCAACACTCCCGAATGTTTGACTAGCGCTTGTTGAGGAGTAGTAACACCCTTTACGCATTCGCCAAGATTTACAGCAACTCTGAGTCGGATATGGAAATAGAATTTCTTCCCTTTTTCAATGACTTCACATCGAACATAGGTATATTTAAAAAAGTCAATAGATAATTATAAAATAAATGAATTTGCCAAGCTGAATAAAAATTTAACTATCGGTAAGCAAACTATACAATAGTTTACTTATTTTACTTAACAATACAGGAATTGCAAAGTAAAAAAAACTTTCCCTTTATAAGACCCCAATCCAATAGTCCAATCTTTCTAGTAATAGATGATTAATTTAAATCTGAGTTGTTAAAATATTATGTTTGATTTAAATATGTGTGTTCTAATAAATTTGTTGTTTACTATACTTACCATGGAAAGCCAGAAGCGTTAACAAAACTAATGACCACATACACATGACTAAAGATTTCTTTAAAATGTGTAAAATATATTCCTAGTTGTCACACAATTAAACTAACAAAGTAGGTAGTGTGGAGGTATGTTAATCTCTGAAGTATAGGCTCACAACAAATTAGACTTAGTCATAACGCATAAGTTAATAGTTCCCCGTAATGTGTCAATGATTATTTTAGAGTCCACTTTGAGTGTCTGTAAGATGATCAAGTTTTGAATTAACTTACTATCTACTTCTCAAACACAATGGAATATCCAAATTCATTGAGTGGTGATAAACATATCAAGTTGATAAAAGTATCCAAATAATTGACAGTACTTCATAACAATTGATTCAAATTCAGGAAACGTCATTTATTTATATCTTATCATATTATGTAGGTTAACAAGGCTACTATAGCTACAGCATAAAACATAACTACAGTACGGTCCACGAGAGTCTGCACTTGAGGGAGGAGTCTATTTGCCACGTGCAGGGGCAGCTCCAGAGGGCAGGTCAGGTAGGCCTGGGCCTAACCAAAATGTTGGTAGACATTTCAAAATTATAAATAAATAAAGAAATTGAATTATATTCAAATAAAGGGAAAGCATTGAAACTAATTATGTTGCATTTCAATTTTAAAATTCCCCCCTTTTTGCTGGGGGCTCTTCAAACCTCTCGTCCCCAGATCAAACTCTTTCTTGATCCTTGTCAGGCCTACCCAAAAAATTATTCCTGGAGCTGCCCTGGCCTTGTGACTTCAAAGGAGCCAATGAGGACCGCGCATTGTTGCCAAATCAAATAATACCAGCTGATTTGAAAATATTGTTTAGTATATTTTAATTAGTGTCGTCAACAGGTGATATGGCAACGTCGCACTACCCCTGTCACGTGATTGGATGACGCCAACTGCAGACTCTCGTGGACCCTATAGACTTGTTATGTCATCAATTATCTGGGCAAGTCTCTTTAAGGAGCTTTTGTTAATATGGAAGCTTATTTCAGTAGAACATTTTATTCATCTCATCAGGACCTTAAAACACACTTCTAACTTTGCTACTTATATCTTCATTATTTTTAAATAGGTTTTGTCAGGATTTTGCTCTAATAACTTCTGGTTAAAATCAAACATTTTAGTTGCTGAAATTTTTAGCTAGCCTAGTCATCTGTCCTCTTTTGTACGTTTCATTTTCCTTCCAGTTTCCATTCAGAATCAACTTGACGGTTTTTTGAAGTAGGAATGTCCTTTAAACCAATAGACCTAAAAGATCTATATATTTCTAATTTGCTTGACAAATCCCTAAACAATAGTCAAATCATCATTACACAGCAAATTGTTATTGTTGAATGGCAATATTTGAACCTGCGCCTCAACGAAGATAGAAGTCCCTTTATCTAACTTCTTGAGCAGCCAGTCCCTCTACATTGGAATATTACTACAGTAACAAAGCTTTGTTGATATATTATATTTGATTAAGATACTTTGGGGCCTTAACAATGCAGGTCAGGATGCCTCAGTAAAATTTATTTGCACTGTAATAGAAACTCTGCAATAGTATAAAGTCACATTTATAACCTACCAATCATGATCCAATGTTTGATAATCGGTAGTTTTTGTTTTTACTACAAGATTGCTTGGTTAAGGCTGAGCTACATTTTTGTTCATCGGAAGGGAAAAATTAAACAGGCTTAGTGAAGTCAAACATTTATTAGTAAAACACAAATGTATTTAAAGAGTAGGCTTGGACAGTTTGATTGAAGCTTCCAGCATCTGAGTCAAACACTATCAAGTTTACTGGATGTGGATGTCTGAAAAAATTGCAAACATGTATCAAATAGTTTATTGGGTGCAAAATCCAAAGTCTATGTGGCAATTTACATGCAGATGATAAGTATTGGCCGAAACTGCAAGGATATGTTAACTGATCAAATAGTTTATTGTGTGCAAAATCCAAAGTCTATGTGGCAATTTACATGCATATGATAAGTATTGGCCGAAACTGCAAGGATATGTTAACTAACTGTGTAGCAAAGATGACAAAATTTCAATCACTTTTATAACAAAGTGGCCTCTTTTTTCACTACCTATCCTTTTCAGCTTTTCCATGAATGTATCCAAAACACAACTGATAAAATTTATCTGGCTCCAATATAAAAGAAGAGATCACCCCAAATTAGATTTAATGTTTGATATTTCTGAAAATACAGTTGATTATTCAGAAGAAAAACTTATCAAAGTTGTGATTTCAGTTGGTTAAACTTGTCAAAAAGAATTTAAAAGAACTTATCATCTGGATTTTGTCAAGTTATTAGAAAAACAAATAAATTTTGGTATACAAATTGCAGTATCATGCTTATTTCACTTCAATTATGAATTACGGACTTAATTTATTAGGATCATCCAAAGTGTTTACTTTAAAAAAAATGTAATTTAGACATATGGTTGAGGTTCCTCAAGATTCATGATTTAAAGAATATTTCATTCATTTCTAAATTCTAACATTATGTAGCGTTTGTACAGGTTGTGTTGGTTAAGTTTCAAGACTGGTCTCAGGAAAGTAAGTAGGTATAGAACATTTATGTATAGCGGGCTAAAAATCTTCAAAATGGTTTCCTTTTCTGAGTTGACACACCGCTGGCAGCGAGTTTTCTACTGTCAGAAGGCTTCCAGGAACTCATCTATTGGAATGACGTTTAGAATCTTCGTCAAAGCCATTTGAACTGCTGCGACAGTGCCGAACCGCTTCCTTTTTTACCGGCTAGATTTTCTTGGTTCCGCGACATTGAGGTCTTCCAGCATTATCATCGTTTTCGACGTCTTCTTGGCCATCTTTATACTTTTGCCACATGAAAACTATGGTTTGAGGCATTGCGACTTCTTAGTCCTATTGAAGCAACTAAAGCATTTCCACGTCGTTCTTGAGACAGAATTTTATGGAGTAATGTTGCTCCTCCAAACGCTGAATTTTCACTCTCACAATGTTTTGACGTGATTACAAAACACACTCTAACTTTGCATATGATGCATTCACTCTAGTGTTGCACCGGCAACCGGGATTGGTTCGGTCGCTTACCTGAGACACCCCTCCACCCAACCAGTGCCACGTGACTGGTCTAGAAGCGCTCTGCTACATGGGAAATAATTCCTGAAACTTAATTAACACACCCTGTATGTGTCATCTTTCTCTTATGGTTAAGAATAATTTAATTTAATGTTAGATAAGAAACTATCTGGATACTCAAAATTTTAAGACTAATTTTCTTATCACATACTGAATCTAATTGGGCAGATGCGCATTCTGATCAAAGCTAGCCACTAACACTCGACGTAAATTCCTCAACTATTGTTGTTATATAAAAACAATTTCTTCATGCAGACTTGCAGAATTGTTAATGAAACTGTACCAGCCAATCCAAATGACATATATAATTGAGAGAATCATTTGCCTCAAATCTGAATTTTTAATAATCGATACATTGAAAATACCACACATAATGAAAATTGGTGGTGGGAGGTTTAAAAAATGTATTGTGTCTATTGTTCAGGTTTCGGTCCATTTCACAATTATCTATGTTTAACAGTTTTATCTACTATCATAATACAACTGGCTACATAGATATTTCTTACCCAATGAAGTGTATGACATTACTCACGGGTTGTATGCAATGACTGCATGGCTTCCGTCAGGATTTAACGCAGCAACAGCCAAAACTCGGTTTGAAAGAATAAATGGCTTTTTAGTCGGCTCTGGCTCTGCGTTGTTTTTTGATTTATCAGTTGTTATTGAGATATCATCATAAATCTCAATCTTTATTAGTTTAGCTCCTGGAGTTATGAACTTTGAGAAGTGCCCCAGTACGTAGTGAGACGGTTGTTTGTAGAACTCTCCACTCGTAGTGTTGATGATAATCTGTGTGTCCATCGTAGAGTTCAAGAACCCAGCAGGTCCTCCATTTTCATCCAAAGCGATGTTCCAGTCCAAATATCCTCCCACCCAGTGAGCTAAATTCTATACATTATCAAAATGAAACATAATATTTTAATATTGGTAAAAATTAATAATCAGTGGTTTATTAAATATCACCACATTGAAATGTAGAAGGAAAACGTCATCAACATTTTGAAAGAGGTACCTTATGTCTAGTTTATTGCTAAAATTACTTCTTCATTGTAATATGTTTTCAAGGTTAGTAACCCACCTATTCACAGGAATCAAAGAAAGCAAGCATACTTAAAGTTTTTAAGCTATATGCATGTAATAAAACGTTTTAGTTAAAAAATAGTTTGGAATCCAAAACCAATTATTTTTCAAATTCCCATAGAATAATTATGGAAAAATGTATTACTTTATTTAGTAAAAATTAATAATCAGTGGTTTATTAAATATCACCACATTGAAATGTAGAAGGAAAACGTCATCAACATTTTGAAAGAGGTCTAGTTTATTGCTAAAATTACTTCTTCATTGTAATATGTTTTCAAGGTTAGTAACCCACCTATTAATAAAGCAAAATTAAAATGTCTCTGAAAGAATAATTTGATCATTTTTCAATTTTTTCAGAAATTGGGGTTTACGTTGTTCAGTGTAATAAGCTACATGCCAGGTTATTGGAATAAGCTTAAATTTGTTTTTTCTGATATCCTATTTAATTAGGCCTACTGTAAATCAAAGTTAGTATTTTCAAACGTAGATTTTAAAAAGTAATTATAGTCTTAGTGAGCTTTAAATTAATTAAACAACATCAAAACTTGTTAACTAGATAAAAAATTTACTTTTCCTACAGTTACCTAGCAATGTACATGTTGTCTCACTGATTTGAGAAAGCAAAGTGGCCAATTCGCTCATCAGTGAGACAATGCTAACATTGTCTCACTCTAATTACTTTGTCTCACTCCAGATTTGCGTTTCTTTACCAATTTATTTGTTTTATGGTAACTGTAGGTAAAATATAATGTGCAGCTAGAGTGCAAAGTGCAATCGCCTCACTCAAGAAATCATTCCTCGAGAGGATTTCTCTCGAGTGAGGCAATTGCTCACTTTGCTCACTAGTTGCACAAATAATATTGTTTATAAACACTTATTTTGTATTTCAATATAGATTGATAAATACCATATCTCATGGCTTCATAATAATATTAACACATTTAATTTTTTTCAGCTTAAACACTGTAAAAGTAAGATATAAAAATCATACATACCTGAAATATATTATTCAGATAAATCACTGCACTTTCCCAGTCGCCTGAACCAATATCAGGAACATTAAATCCTGAAAACATTAAACAATGAAAGTAAAGTACATGGTCACATTGTGTGCTATTTAAAAGTAAGTTTTTGTACCTCAAGTTGCATTTCAGCAAATTATGAAATTGTGTTTAGGCCTACATGCAAATTATTGTTGACATTTTTTCACTATTTTTACAACAACTAAGAGATTATATCTTTGGACTTAGTATTATAAGTTCTATCCTTACAATAGAGTTAATGTGTTAACATCTCACTTAATGAGTTAATCATCAAAACAACAAATCAAACAATTTAAAAGAAGATGGATGTAAGCCTCGTTATATACTGAGAAGAAGATTATTGGATTATTTTTTGCACACATTTTTAAACAATGAACACGATTTGGTGAATATGACTGATGGTACTGTAAATGTATAATCAATATCTACTTACCTAAAAAGTCTATAATACTACATTCTGTGTACAAAATGACTTTTTCTGGGTATTTTTGGTGGAACTCATCCAAAATATATATATTAACATCGTCATCATAGTACCAATGGATAGCCGCACCATCCACAAATTGTTCAGCTTCTTGCTCTGAGAACAACTGAAAAAAATACCCGGGTGATTAAATATTTCATAAACAACGTACTTAGTGCCAATTGGTTATCACATTGATCATACGTATTCACTGCTAGAGAGATATATGAATTTTGGTTACTACATTGACCCTTGGAGTTCCAAAGTCTGAAATAGTGAAATGTCGGTGATGAGTGTGACATAATCTAAGATTGACTTATGCTTTCAGAAACTATATGTATAGTTGGATTTATGCTATGTAGCTGTGTAGCGGAGTGGATACCCCCCAAAATTAAGCCCATCGAAATTTATAGGCAAGTTAAAGCTGTCTATGGTGTAGAAGTAATCATCAGTACAAAATCACATCAGTATGAAAGCAGTGTATCATATTTAACCAAGGAATGGTTTATGATGAAGATCGGAGCGGGAGGCCATCACTAGTCACGGACGAAATGAAGCAAAAAGCTGAAGAAACAATTCAGGAAAATAAACGTTTTACTTTGACGACTCTCTTCCACAAATTTCATGATTACTCCAACATGAGATAGTAATAGATCATGTTGGATACAAGAAAGTGTGTGCTCGGTAGGTGCCTAAGATTTTGACAGACGACCATGGGACATAAGGTAACCCATTTAGAAATCGAAAGGTTGCTGGTTTGATTCTGAGAAATGTCAAAAGACTTTTAATAGTTTGAAACTGGACTCAGCAGTCCTTGATCGTTGGTCTTTTACGAAAGCTGATCTTAGTTAGTAACAAAGCTATCATCACGTCCATTCAAAACAAAACTCACAGTTCTCACTCTGGTGTGTAGGCAATCCAACCAAGCAAATACAGTACAATTCATCAAACACTGCTGAAAGCTGTGTTTGGTATGTGCCGCAGGCAGAGTGGGGGATCGACACTAAAACTACTACAATTTAGCTTTTAGTTTGCCAATCTTTTTAGTGAAGTAGATCAATAAGTCAGATTAGTAGCAGAGACCAAGACGTTGGCTTCCTGTCAGGAGCACCCTAGCACCATGGCTGTCCATGGTTATCCATTGACGATGAAAAACTACAATCAACAACAGCAACAAAAAAATCAGTGGAATATTTCTTTAAACCTTCGCTAGAGATTCTTTTCCCCAAGGATAAGGGAGAATATTGCACAGATAATTGTCAATATTGTGTCGTTCAACTGAGGGCAGCTGATTTAGATGTAAACTAGCTGTGTACCCATTCTACAGATGGGGATCTTATAGTCAGTTAAAAACCTTCTTATAATCAGAACAGCAGTTGGTTTGCATATTTTTTTTCAGATTTGCAAGCAAAACTATTATAGGAATACACATACACCTTCACAAATACAATATCTGACAGGTTCAAGCAAAAAAAGGAAAAGCTTGCAATTAAATATGTCACTCGGATATAAATCTTGTTAGTCTATATTTTATATCTAATGATTTTATAGGAGTTTTATGAGAGGATGTGAATATTATTGACAAAAAGATATTCTATAACGTATACAAATGTAAATTATTACTTTAACTATGGCATCTAAAAAAAAAGTTTACTGAAAATGTTTGTAACTTTTAATATCCAGTAATGGATGACATTGAGATTTGTAAATAATAGCATCCTTTTTATCAAACTAAAATTAACAGTTTAAAATATTTCAGTTAAAAAGTAATAGTTTATTTTTACTCATATTTAAAAAATTATTGTTGTATGATAGTACCTACCTAGAGTTTTGATTGAACAGAAAAGCCACAGGAATCATACAGCGACATATTAAACAAATAATTGAAACTTACTCTGTCAAAGTACCACAACGTAAATGGGCGTTGGTCGTCCAGTCCTAATATTTTGACATTTTCAAAACCAGAATCTTGTAATAATGGTCTTAAGTATTTGATAAAAATCCTTGCTTGTTGCGGTGGCATGATTATGCTTGGGATTGGGAGGTTTAAAGACCAAAAGACCGCCACTTGATTCCCGAACGTAATTCCCCAGAAATCCAATCCGAAGCTTTTATATGCTTGAAGAAATCTGAAAATCAATTCCACAATTGGTTAAAAATGTTTTAATCGTAGTTAGCCCAAAGACTAACTATATGGGATGTAATGGAGTAACATTACATGATATGTGCTGCAGCCTAGAAACCAATCTAAGAACTACTTTGCTAGGCTATTTGGTCTACTAGTATTAGTGCATCAGTTGTTGCTAGGAATGATCAAATGCCAAGTGGTCTCCTGGTCAAGAGTAAACAATGTATAAAATTCACTAATTTGATGTACTTATTGTGAGTTGTGTCTCTGATTAAGCATTTTGCTACTCTCAACTTATCTTTACTGATTCCACCAAAAACTCGTTTCATGCAAATTTTGATTTTTCTGTTTATAAGATAAGGAAAATGGTAATAAAAAGGCTCCCACACTAACTTGAGCAAGTATTTAGCGTAAGTACTGAGATGGTCCTTTCTGATGTAGCCTGCACTCATGTCATTATTAGTTTTCATCCAGTGTGGAGCTGTCCAAGCCACACCTATCAGCTTTATATTTCTTCTGCTTACATTCAAGGCCAAGTGGAGTAGTGGAATCTGCAAATGTATCACATAATACTGTATTTGTATTGACTTTTAAGTTAGTACTAGCTGGCCCGACAGACGTTGTCCTGTTGTAATGTAGTTTTATGTCAAATGCTCGTTCATTTTCAAGATGAGCTCGTTCGCATGGCTTAATCACGTCCTGGTTGAAGTTCATTCGCTACGCTCACTCACCTTTAGGTTGGAGCTCGTTCGCTGCGCTCCCTTGCCTTCAGTTACATTTGACAGCAAATATTCGTAAAAAACAAATGGAATAGAAACCTATTTGATAGCTCTCATTTGTTATGCATAGATTTGTTTTTAAAAATTAGGTTATCATTACAACAGCTGTTTCCTTAATTTAATTTAATCAAGAAATGACAAACATGGCATGGTAAACAAAATAAAACATTCTTCCATAAGATTAACATGTAAACTGCAAAGGGCCATAGGACGCTTCCCTTAAGGGATTTTGAAACGGAAACAGGCTATTATGTTATTCTAGTACCTAAGGAATATCCCTGTAAATTCATGCCAATCGGTTCAGTAGTTTTCTAGTTATAAACACTGTAACTAACACAACTTTCTTGTATATATTAAGAAGATATAATATCAGATAAAGTGAACAAAAGCTTTACATAAAACTCAAACCACTCTCATTCACTGGATCATTCGAGCTGCACCATATTTGTGACAAAACTGCAAAGGAATATGTTTAACCTTGACTAATATGTTATGACTAACCTTGAAATCCAAATCATCTTTAGTAAGATTGAAATACTTCAACTCTGTATCCCCTGGAATGTCATCATATGTTGCGTAAGCAGGAGTGAAATCTGTCGGCTCCGCTGGCACTCTCACAAAAGAATACTCTACACCTGTCTGGCCAAAGTAAGATCTGAAAAAATATTTGAGAGAAAAGAATTTATTTATAAAAATAAATACCTCTGCCTTAAAAAATAAGGTTGCCAATGACACAGAAAAATAGTACACATAAAATATCTAAGGATTATACAGCTATAAGAGTTTTTAAATTCAGGAAGCACCAAACTTTTCCTGTGTCAAGTGTAGCTGAATGGTTAAAGATCTTGACGAATAATCAAAAGGTTGCCGGTTCGATCCTGAGGAAAATCAGTGATTGGTTTGAATCTGGACTCAGCTGTCCCTGATCATTTGGGGCTTTAAATAAATTATCCTGACTGATGAAACAGATTATCTTAGTCAGTAACAAGACGACACAGTGTATCTCAAAACATTCTACACTCATTTGGGTTGAAACACACACCTAGGTGGCATCCCCATTCCTTTCTTTTTAAGGCCGGGATCGTTTTTCACATTACTTCAGGCTAGACATAGGGGTTGCGACATTATCACTTAGTTAAAATCCATTGGTGATTTGGCAGGATTTTAACACGGGACCTCGTGGGCCAAAGTCCTGTCCTCTAACCACTAGACCAGCTCGCTCCCCCATCCCTGCCTCATGATTATAAAGATAATAATAATGTGTCATTTTACAGCCAGCAAAGGTACACAAACAGTTCCAAAAACCACTGCCTTTCATCACATCAAGTTTATTTAATTTACTCCAAACTTCTTGAATTTCCATTATGTTCAAAGAAATAAAACCTGGAAGGGTTTTTAGATGCATAAAACTTATTTCACTCACTCTATCAGTTTCTGTTTGGCTGCGTGGGGCAGACTACTGATGGCAGTGGCAGAGGAGGCGGTGAGTGCGGCACCAATCCCTTCAAAAGTCTGATACTGAATAGTAGAATTCACCTGGATAATGACATCTACACAGAGAAAGGTTTAGTTTCATGTCAGTTGGGTTAGCGTACAGCAAATTGTGATTAATTTGATACTTAAGACTTATGTTTTTGAGAAAAAATCATCAGTATCAGCAATCTGACTCACACTTTCTCCCATTAGCTTGTCAACAACCCTTATCATGGTAAGCGGTGCGAGTAACTATGATATTTTGTGGGGAAAATCATAAAAAGTGCAATAACTTTTTAACCATAATTTTTACAGCAATAGCGGTTGCAACATTTGGTTGAGAGGTAAAAGGGCTGTAACATACTAAATTTTAATTTTAAAATTGTTCGAGCAGTTTTGAATAAGATTTTTCTGCTATTTATGGGTTTATGGGACAATCATCTTTAAGAAAAAAAATTGCATGAAAATGAAAAAATTCCTGAAGATACCATAGATTAGTATCCAATCCACATATCAATTTTCATCAGAATCCGATCACCGGTGTCCACTGTAGCTCTGTTGACATCCACAAACCACATAGGAACCTACTTTTTTGGATTCATGATGTACCGAAAAACGGATTTATCCACCCAAAACTCCAACTCGAACATTTTGACAAAACAATACTTTCTCCTTAAACTATGTATAGGGGGAGAAATTAAAAACAGTATCATCATTAATAGCTGATTAAGACAAATATAAAATCAAATTAAAAGTATTAAGTTAGCGTAAAACTAAATCCACAAAGCTTTCTCACACAGAGAACACGCCATTCTTTCATTAAATTTACCGTAACAGAATGTACAATACAATATAGAAACAAATATTAAAGAACCGGTACGGACTGGTTGAATACCAAACGCCACAGGATCTTTAGTGACTTATAAACACCATCACTAAGGAAGCAAACAATATTGTTCAACAAAACAGCCTGTCTAAATACTTGCCTTCTGAATTTTCCCTCAATTGTATAGTGGAATTTGTAAAATTGCCAGAGGACACGGAAAAGCCAGGCGTTTCCTTGGATGTGCTGTAATGGAGGTAGAGTCCTCGAGCGATCACTGCGGGCTTCTCTACTGTATCACAGTAAGTTGCATTGCAGACACAAACGTAACCTGACGATGCCTTACGAACATTACATGGAATCATTTCTGCCAAGGACAGTTTGACTAGAACAAAATCGTAGTGCTATAGATCCATGGATAGATTTGGTTGGTATAAGAACTTGATAGTTTTACTACATAGTTAAATTTGTATGTTTAAAGGGCATTACTATTACTCCCAAATGTATTTAGTTCCAAAGAGACATAAATGTTAGATTATTAAAATTCAGAACCTTAATTGTCTTTTGTGTTCATATACTAACTAAACTATAGAAATTTAGGTTAATGTTCTCAGGTTATTCACTATTACCTTATTTTCAAATATTTAATGGGCTTACAGACAAAACTGATTGTCTTTAATAGACAAATACTTCTGCTGCAACAAACCTGCAGTCTAAGCGAAATTCCATTTGTCTGATCTTATTTTCCCTCAAATATTTCCTTAAGCATGTCAAATTTAACCCCTATTGTTTAACGAGTAGGCTACAATGGTTTCCTGCTGCAGGGAAGGTAATAAAGTGTGTTTTTAGTTAAATGATAATAGCTTAGCTTGAAGTAATTTTTGATGAATGTGGCTCAGTCGGGCCGAAGACAGTGATGTCGTGGGCTCAGATCCTGGCCACTACCGCTACTTTTTATCGGTACAGTTAACCCTTGTATTGAACTGCCTTCCTTTGCTGGATTCGTTCCACGCACAGGTCCATAGCCTATGTGGACGGGCAAATGCAAGGTTAAAAGCCTATTACAAAAAAATCAATAAATAAAAATAAAACAAATCTGCCAAAACCAAACTATGATATTTTACTTTTTCTTTATTAGAATACCATGGGAATTAACATTTTACACCACTATTGTTCACTTAAATTGGATTTTAAATCACTAATTTAGTAGATAGGTAATCAATATCCTTATAAAATAAAGTAGCAACAAGTTTTAATGATGATGGCCATACCTGTGAATGATACAAAGCTTATAAGTAATATTTTATGAGGAATAATCATTGTTCCTTCATACATAACCACACAATAGTCCAAGTTTGATTGTACGATCTTGGTGTACTTTGTGAGTGAAGTGATCATATAAACTTTATGGAGGGATCACATTTTAGGATAGGATTATTGGTGGTAATAAATATAATCTTCAGATAACAATACATTTTAATAATCTGTCATTGTGTATTTCCATGAGTGAGAAAAGAAAAAAGAATCATTGAAATCTTAACAATTCTTGTACTATTTTTACAATAATAAAATTGTTGATAAAAAATCATCTCTTTTGTATTGTTTAGAGGTCAATACAAGTAAAATTTAAATTTTGGCAGTTGCAATTCAAACAAACCTTTACAGGCTTTATGTTTCAAGGTAAAAGGTGTTTAAAAAACAATACTTTTCAGTAACTATTTATTAGAAAGAAAACATGAATACACAATTTACATACGCAACAACTCACATTATGATTACATCATTAATAACATTGTCTAGTATTTTCATTTTTCTACTGGCAGAGAGGAGACTTTGAGATCCACAAATTATCATCTGTTTGACTTTAGCTGGCCTTGAAGAACTCTATGGCGTGAGGAACTGAAACAAATCAGAGTAAATTATTACAATTTTGTACATCAAAATACTATAGTTTTGTCTACTACTATACTGCGTACAATAGTCGCTGACTACGACCCTAGAAACCTAGAATTAAAACTACATAGTTGTAGCGCTGGCAATGTGTGTGACAAGTGTGAAAGTATCGAATGTGTCAGTGAATTTAAATATTTAGGTGTGATATTTGATCGACGTTTGAAATGGTCTGGCCATATTAATCAAATCAGGGTCAAACTACGTAAATTTATCTTTGTTTTTGCAAACCTATCAAATATTTTACCAATTAGGGCCTAATTTGTTAAAGAATGTCTACTATGGTTATGTACAATCTTTTTTGCAATATGGAAATCTGGCCTGGGGTGGAGGATACAAAAGTATACTTGCACCAATAGAAATTATTCAAAAAAGAATAATCAAGATTGCACTCCACAAACCTAGTCGATATCCCTCTGAAACAGATTTTGATGAGTTCAAAGTACTTAATATTTCCCAGCTATATACTAGATCTTTCATAATATATATTTTTAAGAATAAACAGTATATTTTTTGCCAACCAACTCACAACTATCCAACTAGATTTTCAGTTAATATTGGTACCCAATTTCCAAAAGTGAATAAATCGATAAATAAAACTTCTCCACAATACATTGCAAAAATAATGTTCTCAAAGTTACCTAATAGTTTTAAATATCCCGACCTTGCAGATTGCAAACATATAAAAATCAAGTAGACAAATGGTTAGTGGAAACAGGCCGTGGCCAGATTGATCGTTATCTTGTGTCATTGTATTCGTAAGGTGCGTGTGCATGTGCGTGTGTCGTCGATGATGTGCCTGTCTGTGTGAGTGGGAGAGTGAGTGAGTGAGTGAGTGAGTGAGTGAGTGAGTGAGTGAGTGAGTGAGTGAGTGAGAGAGTTGCATGAGAGAGAGAGAGAGAGAGAGAGTCGGCTCGCCGCTGGCCCACAGGGACAGAGCAGTGACAGCCCTTTAGGGCTACCAGCCGCCTGTACAGGGCCTGTAGTAGTGAGTCGTTGCATGTGTTTTGTGTGTGTGTGAGTGTGTGTTGTTTGTGTGTGAGTGTGGGTAGAAGATGTATGAATGGTTTCCAAGTCCCAGTGCTTTTCACAGTATTATTAAATACCCTTAAATACCCTTTTTACTATTTTTTTATCATTTATTTATTATTATTACTTTCTTCTTTTTTTTAATAGATTTGTCTCTATCTTTACACTTTTCAGATATTTCCATAATACTTTCGTTATCTGCTGTGGCTTCCTGGTAAAATTGTTTTTTTTCCTTTTTGGCAAATGTGTAATTAGTATTTAGAGTAACAATTATTATTAAAACGATGTTAGATTGTATAATATGGATGGTCTGATAATAACTTGTTCCCCACGCACAGGCTTCGCCTATGTGGGGAAATTCCATTATTATTAAGAATACTGTTTTGTAGTTTTTGTTTATCATGGAATAAATTATGTTTGATTTGATTTGATTTGACTAAGACCATAAAGCAGCGTCCTAGCTGAGCGGTGAACATTTTTTTGGCAGTGCGTGTACCATCGCTTGCAACACTGACCAAAAATGTTTCCACAGTAAAACTTGTGGCGGTCGGCGCAACAGTGCGGTGCAGCAGGGACTATGAAGCCCTGTCTCAGTTACACTTCAGCAGTGAGTTGAATAATTAGTGTGTGGCCATGCCAGGGGAAAAGTGTAATCATATTCTGCTTGATAGTTCGTCACTGACATATAAACTGAAGAGGAAAATGGAGAATTCTCGGGAGACTAGAGCACCTACTAATAACATTTTTACGGAAAGGGATTAATTAGGTGAATTCCATCATAACTACTGAAAACTAAAGATCTACCTATACTGAATTGAATAAAAATAAAAATTATTCAAAGAGTTAATTGAAACCTACAATCATATAGATAGTCAGTAACTTGATATGATATTTCTCGTTTAAGACTAGGCCTACAACATTTCATACTGAGGACAAACCAGTCCTGTCAAGGTCCATGAACACAGTCGCCGCACTTACGACCAAAGACAAACCGGTTTGTGTTTTGTCGCAGGTAGTTGAGTTGACGCACTGCAGACCATCACATCGCATGGGCTGCTTTGAAACTCTCATTCCTTTCTGTGTATTTGAAATTTTAGCTGCAGGTTGATTCACATGCACTCAACGCTGACCAAATTTGTACCGCTCAGGAGAGGGCTTAGAGAAGTTCCGAAAAAATAGTTACAAATTTTCTTTGTTTATTGTGTAGACCTATTTCTATTTTTTTTTACTAACATTTATTAACCCATAAGCCTATTAAACTGGATCCAAATTTTTTCTGTAGGTTGTTGACAGTAATTTTGGATATGAATTAGCTGATTTAAGTGACAAGCTTTCAAATTATTCTAGGCTACATCTTACTACAAGCTATGACGAATCACATTGATACTGCAACAATCTTCAAATGAAAATAATTTTAACAAAATAAAAGAGCTAGAATACTATTTCTAGAAATATCTACATCAAGAACAAAAAAATGTGAAACACAATAATTAACTTACAGTTGAACAATTCTTATAATTTTGTGTGTTTAAATCAGTCAGTCATTGGCATTTTATACATTTTTTTCATTTTTTCTATGTGGGCAGTCCAAACCCTACTCTTGTTACTATCTAACGTTTTTTGTAATATAGCATCTTTAACTGATATCTCAAAGACAAATGGCATCAAACATTAAATTATGCACTGTGGCACGTTTTCACTTTTAGACACAATGGGATTATGTACCTACTATGGGATTATGCACTATGGCACGTTCATTAACAGACGTTGAGGCATTAGTCAATGATTCAGGATTGGAATGAGGACGATGATCATGTCGGCAGTGGCCTTGCTTCTATTACTGATATTTTACGTGAATAAATTCTATTTTGCTCTATAATTTATGTTGATGTGATTAATAGTTTATGTATCGTAGTTGATTTATTGTATTACAGCACCAAAGTCCATTTTCTTTAAAAAATCTAGTTATTGCATATTGTAACTCTGATTTTGCTCTCATGGCGTCGTGTGTGGCTTTGTCTGTTATTATCGAATGTAAACAACTGACAGCTGTTTCCACTCCACAATCCTTCCTCCCCTTAGTCGCCACTAGAACTTGGACTCGTCCATACCACAAATATGTGAATATTACAACAAAACTGAAGCTTAATATTAATTATTTAACTGTACGGTAATTTAGGAATCTCTCCGACAAAAACTGATTGCATTTTTGGATTCAGCGTGAAAAATACTGTAAGTAGACATCAAAAAAGTACATAATATCGCGTTGTAGACATACCAAATAATTACCCAACCCGTTATTAATAAGAGTGAGTATTTCAATTAGTTACATAAGCTTGGAGTCTTTTTAACGGGTCGCCGGATTTCTACCCCCGGATATTTACCCCCATGAAAAAACCCCTACGTCATTTTGACGTCACGAGGGGCGGGGCCTATACACGGTCGAGAAACAGCCCGCGACTGGAAATCTACCCCCGGACATCTACCCCCGCACATCTACCCCCAGACATCTACCCCCGGACATCTACCCCCGGAAATCTACCCCCGGAAATCCACCCCCGGACATCTACCCCCCGTGGTCAGCTCTGTCACGTATCGGCCAATATTCATTGTAATTGATTTCATTGACTGTTTTATGTAAATCAACGGCTCTTCGGTTAGTAATTGCCCTCTAATATCTAGTATTACGCATGTGATATGTTATTGTCTTGTTTAACATTATCTATCTTCCTAATGAAATAAGCTGTAACAGTCCTTTTTCACCCGAGCTACTTCACAGATTTTTATGATCGAGGTGTAATTTTAAATCTTAAGATCTAGCGCAACGCAAAATGGGAATTGAAACGATATTTTGATAAAGGGCTTCAAAAGTTTGACCCTTAAAGCAATCCTTTAAAAGTTCCCTTCCCAGATTTGTTTACGTTATCGTCATATGGATTATTTTTTACTACTTTTAACGAAACAGCTGTTAATATTAAAATTGTATTTTAAACAACACATAGAGAGTTACTGAGTTTGTCAAAAAGAAGTATTTACAATGTAGTTTTCTGACTAAAAAAAATTATTTTATTCTGCATTATCTCATGTTCTGCAATACAGTATAGCGTTCCATTACGAAATCATTGGAAAATATTTCATACAGTAACTATTAAATTATTACTTATTGAATTATCTTATCTATTGTACGGCTTGGTGTCTGCATTTTTGGCCACTTTTGCCAATATTTTGTCATATCTAAGACAGATCATCATAGGTTCATAAGATTATTTTCATACATGTTTTCAATTATTGGAAAAGATTTCGATTGTGTAATACAATACAAAATAATACAAGTGCAGAAGGGCACGTTGCCCATATGAGCCGTGTATATATTTTTAAATTAATAGTGGTTTACAGCAACTGGATTAAAATTTTAATAATTTTTATGAGGCAATATGTGCACGATTTAGATAGTCATTAATCTGCCAAATTGTAATTTATTGCAGACCTGTTAGAGATGTTACTTTGATGTATTCATTCAGCTTAGTGAAAACACAATAGAGCCTTTGAATGTTATTAAACTAACTACATACTACAAAAAAAGGTTCAGGACAGGGCTATTTTAATGCGCTTGGATTGAGACATTTATTAATCCGGCTTATATTTTTCTTAGCCAACGAATTATTTATCTACAGAAGAAGTTCATTGTGCTCTTATCCTGTCTACTAAGACACATACATCCAACACTTCCAAACACAATAACACCTATGACGGACGGTTTAAGAAATATGTTATTCATTAATGATCAACCATATTTTGTAACTAACGCAATAGTCATTATTGTTTCTACACTTATTTATTACTCATTAAACAATGCTAAATGCTCACGTTTTTTATAATTTCACTCTGTCACAGTTAAAAGAATTATCGTAAGCCTTTAAAGCAACCGTCGATATTGACGGGTTTCACCTAGTAATTAATTAATTTATTGATGAACCGGTGGCAGGCTTTTTATCAACATTTAATTGCACTGTATTTTTACCTCTAGTAATCAGAAAATAACCTCCTTCAATTATCTGTTTTAAATTTCACGATCTGCGTTCGTGCATGCGCCGTTAGCTGTTACTGTGTGTGAAAGTTGGCCAAACATTTAAATCACTGTCTAGAAAAAATTAAATGCTTAAGGGTCAAACTTCTGAAGCCCTCTACCAAAATATCGTTTTAATTAACATTTTGCTTTGCGCTAGATCTTAAGATTTAAAATTAACTTACACCTAAATCATAAAAATCGGTGAAGTAGTTCAGGTGAAAAAGGGCTGTTACAGCTTATTTCATTAGGAAGATAGATAATGTTAAACAAGACAATGACATATCACATGCGTAATACTAGATAATAGATGATAATTACTAACCGAAGAGCCGTTGATTTACATAAAACAGTCAATGAAATCAATTTCAACAATGAATATTGGCCGATACGTGACAAAGCTGACCATGGGGGTAGATGTCCGGGGGTAGATTTCCGGGGGTAGATTTCCGGGGGTAGATGTCCGGGGGTAGATGTCTGGGGGTAGATGTCCGGGGGTAGATGTCCGGGGGTAGATTTCCAGTCGCGGGCTGTTTCTCGACCGTGTATAGGCCCCGCCCCTCGTGACGTCAAAATGACGTAGGCGTTTTTTTATGGGGGTAAATATCCGGGGGTAGAAATCCGCTACCCCTTTTTAACTTAACAAAATCAAAAATTATTACTGTTACTACTTCAGTTTTAAATAACGTCTGTATAATAATGGTACTTGACAATTGCTTGGCTGCACTTTACTTTAGGTCCTACACTCATTTGAATGAAAATATCGATTGATATATCGATTATTCATTAAGTTGTAACGTTAGGCTATCCAATGAAACAATCAAATAATCAATATTTTTATTCGAATGAGTGTAGGACCCAAAGTAACTTAAAGTGCAGCCAAATAATATTATTTTGGGTACAGGCACAACTTACCCAATTTTATTACAGCGATGACTCCAATAAACGCAGCAATATTCAGTTGAACTGCGTGCCTTGCTAAATCCTTTTCTTCAGAAGGATTGCTTCTTTCAATAGGTCTCATACTGACTGTTGTGTGTGTAGTATTATTAATAACCTACTGATTAACTTTACAAATGTGCAATAAGGCAATTATTGTATGTCAGGAATTCACTTTGCTTGCAGACAACCCAGACGGGAGACGGCATTCACTTTTCACTGCATCTCACTTCACTTCACTTTGTTTTTCTTTTGCTATTGCTATCCGTTGCTCACTGCTTCGCTTGCTAAAACCTAACCTCAAAACAAATAACATAAACAAAATGTTTAAGTTTCGATCATTTTTGTTTGCTTTTTAACTAGCCTTGATTACTTGCCATGTAACTTTCCCTAAAACTTCAAAACTTGACCTTTATCGCAGATTAAATGCAAAAACACTACGCTACGATACTAATGATAAAAATTATCAATTTATTTATCATTAGCTTAGGTGTACATGTAATTTAAAAAAATAAATGTCCCAGCAGAAGGTGTCATAAGAGCTGGAGCACGGCCATCTTTAACTCCAGGCCGCGGCCTGAGGGGGCCCGTTTCATAATAAATTACTAGCTATTATCCTATTATTATTAGCAGTATTATGAAACGGGCCCCTAAGAGAATTGGCAACGTCACAAGTAGGGTTGTTTAGTGTCAGACGTCACATAGGAAGTTAACATGGTAGACAGGTGACATCAGATCATTAATTCGCATAGACAATAATAAATTATATTAAATTTAATTGATTTAAATTTATGAACATAAATTTATTAAAATATTGAAAATAAAACACACAGAATTGAAAATATATATCCAAACATTTAAAGCGGAGTAAATATTTAAGCATAGTAGACTACCCAAGCTTTCGTAAATACACAAATACCATTAGCTGCTTCCAAATAAAACAGCTGTTACAACCCTACTTGCAACGTTGCCACTTCGAAGGCCGCGGCCTGGAGTTAATAAAGGCGGCCGTGGCTGGAGCATCGGGTTTTTTAAACAGCTGTTCCATTGTTGTCGCACGTGGTAGGAAGATTGAGGTTATGCCATTACCTTCATTGAGGCTTGCCATTTTTGTTTAAATGTCTCAGTGGACCGTAGACCATCGCGTTTTCGCCCCGATACTTTTGTCCAAAAATGGTGAATCCATCGTCAAAACCCAGCAGGAATTTCGTCGACATTTTAATATTGAACGCCATGTAACGTTACTAAGCCGAAATATGCAATTAAGATGTGTTTCAGGGTTCCAAACAACTGGGAATAAAACAAGAAAGAAGCCACCAGGCTTTGTTAGAACTTCGAGAACACCCGAAAACATCGCCAGAGTGAGGGCAGCAATGATACGGACTAAGGAGTTCAAGCAGGTCTGCGCCAAATATGCTCAAGAGCTGAACATGAACCGCGAATATGCAAGGAGAATTCTTCGGAAAGATCTTGAGTTTCATCCTTATAAAATACAGGTAGTGCAGGAATGCAAAGATTAATTAACGAGCCGAACATGATATTGTTAATGGAGTGAAGCCCACTTCCACCTTAATAGCTCGGTAAACAAACAAAACTTCCGTTACTGGTCCAGTCAGAATCCCCGTAACATTCATGCAAAACCTCTACACTCTCCCAAAAGGTTACAGTTTGGTGTGAGGAATCTCATCCCTGTGTTATTGGGCCGTATTTTTTTCTAGGAAAATGGTGTAACAGTGACAGTGAACTCTCAATGCTATGTTCACATGTCGAACACTTTTCTCCGTCAAGAACTTTGCAGAAGTCAAATAAACAGAAGAAGGGTTTATTTTCAACAGCAAGGTACAGCACACACTGCAGACCAATCAAGGAGCCAAGTCTTGAGGCAATAGGCAAATGTTTCCTAACAAAGTGATTTCTCGCTTTGGTGACATCCCGTGGCCACCAAGGTCACCTGACTCCAGCTGTCAACTGTGATAACTTCCTTTGGGGGTTTCTTAAGAAGCGTGTTTATGCCATTATGCTCACAAACCACGCACTCTAGAGGATTTGAAGTTGGCAATCACAGAAGAGATCAATGGCATTGAATAAGATTTCCTGACCCGAGTTTTTAGATGATTTTCAGACTAGAATGGACATTTGTAGAGAAGTACATGGCCGCCATATGCGTGACGTCATTTAAAAAAAATTACTGTTTGGTAACAAATGACAAATTTTTACCTCACTAATGTACAGTATTAAAACCATTCTATTCATTTTAACTACCGTACTGTGTACGACTTATTTAAAAAAAAAAACGCCCGGCTCCTTTTTGTGTCACCCTGTATTACGTTTTGTCATACAGTATTTATATATTGGTTTGACCGTTGATATGAATAAATAAATAAATATACTTAATATACAACTGGCAATATACTTAATATACAACTGGCCCTTGGGCTTGGGCTAGTTAGTCTTTATGATAATACCATGTTTTTTCTATGATAATACAAAGCTCAGAGCTGCAGCATGAGAGAGGATGTCCAGTATCTTCCCTTCCCAGACCTTCAGTGGCGATTTTATAAGATCAATACTATTATTATCTAATACAATAGTCAAAGATCTACTGTATTAGTATTCTATCATAATAACATACTCCCCCTATTTATGTATTTTTCCACTGTATTGATTAACAAACTTACAGTATCTAGACTAACGGTGTAAGTTTGATCGCTGAGCTATAATTATAACTATAGTTTTAATTATTATAGCTCAGTGTCTATCATCACGGCCACCTGTAACTCCAGGCCGCGGCCTTCGAAGTGGCAACGTCGCACGTGGTGTTGTAACAGCTGTTTTGTTTGGAAGCAGCTAATGGTGTTTTTGTATTTACGAAAGATTGGTTACTGGACTTTGACAATATGACTCCACTCAAAATGTACAGAAATGTATAGATGTTTAAGTCTTATTGTTTCGGTTTTGAATTCTGTATGTTTTATTTTCAATATATTAATAAATTTATGTTCATCAATTTAAACTAAAATCAATAAAGTGCGAATTAATAAGCTGATGTCTTCTGTCTACCATGTTATCTTATGGGACGCCTGTCACTAAACAACACCACTTGCGACGTTGCCATTTGCCGACTCTACCAGGCCGCGGCCTGTATTTAAATGCGGCCGTGCTATGATAGTATGTATAATATACTATTATAATAAAACATAATAAAATAAATTATAATAACATAATAAAACATAATATGTTTTATCATTACAAATACTCACATATATGACAAATCGAAAAACTTTGTTTAGAGTAAAGTAGTGGTGGTGGTAAAAGTGGAGTTTTGGGGTTGCGATTGCGTCGTCGTCGTCGTCGGTCGTTGTCGTTGTCGGTTCGGAACTGAAATAAAGGTAGAGGTAGAAGAAAGACAATATTTATTTGTCATATTTAGTTGACATGTTTTAAGTTTCTTGGTAAACTATATTTTAAGTAGTGTATAAATACGCTTAAGTTAAATTTTGTCTAATTCAATTTCGAGAGTTATTAAATATTCCAAACTTCTTGTGAGGTAGCATAGTAAATTTATGAAGGCTAGTGGTTTGCTTGTTTTCCTTCATGTTCTTTAGTTTTATTGTAACCTCCTCGACTACCCTTTTATCTTACCTCTAGATAAGCATGTTTTGTTATTGTATAATTTACTTTATATTCCGCCAGTTCTCTGTAATAGTTGCTCACATGATTGAGATTGATAATCTTACCCAAAAAATGCATGCAATAAAGGGTGTTGTTCAGCACTTCATCTCTTGGAAATTCTTCACTATTGAAACTGTAACTAGTAGGCCTACTTAATCTTGCATCCCTACATATTTTTTATTATGGGACATTCCCCCCCCCTTGTAAGTAGAAAAGGGGGTTTGTAGGGGATGGCAATGGTTCCATCGAATTCCTCAATTCTGACAAACTCCCTAGTGCCATAAGTTATATACATATTGTCAAAAGGGGGGTTTTGACCCCTAACGGGAAAAGGGGGCAAAATAAGTGTTAAAAGGGTGTATTTGTTTAAGAAAAATATAATTATGACAATCTATCTAAATGAAAAAATATATTTTTTTTATTAGGGGGCATTTCTCCCCCTTGTAAGTAGAAACCCAAGGGGGTTGCAGGGGGCGGCGATGGTTCCATCAAATTTCTCGCCCCAAAAATCCAAATAAGGGGTATACTTGGGTTTGTACTGCCTTACCAACAAAATAGGAGAAACACCCGGAAAAGGGAAAAATCCCAATCACCAGAGCCATAAGGTACACCCACCGAAATATGTTAATTCTTTAATACTTTTCATTGAAATGGCGATCAATAAAATTAATAGTTAGCCCATCTATAATAATTTAGGTTGCACAGCTTGTAACACTTCGTTAAAAAATTTTGTTTCTTTATTAAAGGGTTATTTTCATGATTTGTGCTTTACTATTTGGTTATATGACTAGAAGACCAGTTATTGTTTATGATTATGCAGTTTTATTTGGTTAAATTATGTTTTAAATGACTGAAATATCAAGAAATAAATTGTAAACAAAACATAACCTTTACAGTTGGACGTACAGAACTAACAATAAAATTGGCTTCAGCTGTTTAATAAGGATGACAAATCTACTAAGGGAGTATGTTTTATCTATGGTTGCATACAAAGTTTAATAAAAAGAGGTTTAAGTTACAATGAGCGTTAAATTCTGAGCGTGTCATTATTCTAACACGTACCCTTTTTCAGCAAAAGCACTAGGCTATAAACTTACCTACTTTATCGATTCTTGATCTATTATCCCATAGACCAAAACTGATGACCCTGTGAAACAAATGAATACAATATCAATAAGAAGCAATGCCTTTGTAAAAAATTCAGTCTGGGAATATTTGAGTTTCGGGTAGTTCCCGTGGCAGCCGTTAGGTAGACTATCGCGAGCGAGCGGCCAATTTAGCTGACTGAGTGAGAGAGAGAGTGAGAGAAAGAATTGGCTTAGAGAGAGAGAGGAGAGAGAGATAGAGTAGCGTGGCCACCGCGCGAGCGATTCTAGCATCAGCCATGCTAAGCTCATTTCGGCAGTGAAATTCCAGTCTGACTATTAAGCATTAGTTTATTAGCACTTCGCTTCTTAAAAGGTTTGTATTCATTAATGAAACAAAGGATAATAGGCATTGGTGAAAATAAGCTAAAAGAACTTCCTTAAAAGTTCTAAAAAAATATATAAATATAAAGACATTACAAAATGCTATTAACTGGAGGCCATGAATGCATAAAATAGCTTGATTTTAAACTGCTATGGTATTGTTTGATAATTTTGATTAATAGATAAAAAATTGAGAAGATATGCACTCATATTCAGAAACATTTGGTGCAGATTAATTATTTAACTAGTGTACACGTTGCTCGAATTCGAGCAATTGCAAAGTATTACAGGAGTTATTTCAAAACGAATAACAGTTATTTTTACAATGAGTTTAAAAGAGGCAACTCAAAAATTACCGGTGTGTAACTCAGACCATGTGTATCTTCGTTATTGATAAACCTAAAGCATTCTGGCCGGTTTTCTTATTCTCAAAATGCCTCGCTGTACAGGCAACACAGGTCATTGATTGAGGGCCAATTGAGAACGAAAAATCGTTTTGGAGTTTTAGGGCGCATTTGTAACCTAATAGTTGAGATTGTCCAGGGTCAGGTGCAGACTATGATCAGTTAAGCCTATGACTTTACAACAACACAAAACAGAGCAAACAGAGGCAGTTCCAACTACTGGTAGGGGTTGGATATATTATATTTGTTTCTTTATTCTATTACGTGCCACTGTTCTGTAGCTGCGGTCGTTATCACGATTATGCCTCCTAACTATGTTTCGTTGTCTTCGCGTCGGAGGCATTTAAAAGAAAAAAAACAACAAATAAACAAATTATAGCTACACAAAATAACGATAAATGCACAATTTTAAGTTACAACCATGCTAACACGATCCGTCATAGCGACACAAAACAACGATAAATACACAAATTTAAGATACAACCACGATCCGTCTTGGGGGTTATGTTTACACAAACTCAAATAGCAAATAAATGTACTCAATGCGTTTCATTGAATTGAAAAATAAATAGAAGCAATTAAATTATACAGCTGATCAAACTGTACAGCTGTAAACAATTATGTCCTCCGTAAGGATAACATGGGAACTTTCAAAGCCACTGGGGCAGAGCCCAAGGGACATTTTCAAAAATGTAAGGCCAGTTTGCAAATTTACGCGACACGCTCTTTCCAATGAGACGTCAATGGATAAAATCGGTTAAGAAATGGCGGAGGAGTTCAACCGACAAAGTTTCATGTAGCGTATTAATTATATAGATTAAAATTGTGTTAAACAGGTATTTCTAAAACTTAATTAAGTTGGCTTTGACTACTTACCTAACATTGTTTTCAGTCAATGAGTAAAACTTGCAAGTCAAGCTGTAGAGATAGTGGGACTGGCTGAGAGAGTTAAGTTATTGTTGGAGTGCCTTCAAGAAAGGTGTAGTGCCTTCTACAACTAACTAGTCAATCCTGCTTTGAAAATGGTGATACAACAATTTGAAGACGAGGTAAGATAGCTTAAAATTAGGCCCAATAGATAGCCTAAGTTTGTTTGTAAAGCCTAGATCTATTACCAACATCCTACTATTTTCTTCATATTTGTATAAAAGCTTACTTGAACTGTTAATGCTTGACATAAAGTGTATCTGTATCACCCACATTATTACCCTTAATAGGTGGGCTAGGTACATTTTCCTTAGTTCATTTCCATCATCAGATCTAAATTTTGAGTCTAGACAATTGATAAGCATTCTACCTAAGTCTATAGGCCTACAATATGCTTTCATGTTTTTAATTTTTCTTCAGACAATAAAAATATTTTGTTTACTTCTCACTTTACAGCTTATTCCCACTAAGATTGGTAAACTTACTACTAATTACATTCCACCAAGTTTATTAATAACTTCGGTACTTTCGTATTATACGGAGGCCACTTATTTTACAGCGTGTTGCGGTCGTTTGTAGGACTTTACTAGTTTCGTTATGAATCAAACGATACCAGATGAAGAGATGAGTCATACAAATTTATGATAACTGATAACCCAACCTAACATAAACACTGCAGCGCGCTGGATAACGGTGGCATCCGTATAATACGAAAGTACCATAACTTCATAGTAGTTAACACTATTGTTAAATTGCAGTTGAGATTATTGAGAGGGTCGTTTTCAGAGTGCATTAGTGCAAGCAGTCCTCATAGGAGACGTGGATGAAGTTCTGTCGTTGCTACAACAGAAGGAAGACCCCAACCAACAAGACCAGGAGAGGCGGAGTCCACTTCACGCTGCCTCTTTCAAAGGGGACTGTCACATTGCCGAGGCCCTGATAATGAATGGAGCTCGGGTGAATGTTAAGGACAACAAATGGCTGACCCCACTCCACAGAGCGTGTTGTGTCAATAGTGAGGTAAGTGGCAGTCAAAATGCAGTACAGTAGACTCTCGCTCATCCGGACTAATGTGGCGGAAGTCCGGCCTGGATTACGAAAAGTCCGGACTATCGAGAGTCGAGCAAATACACAGTACTGTATATAGCCGTTTTTTCAATTTTGTTCCAGGTCCACAATAATTGTAGCCCGGGCATATGCACTTCCACCGGTAATAATTCTTTCTGCCGAATTTTGTTCCAGGTCCACAGTAATGATAGCCCAGGCATATGCACTTCCACCGGTAATAATTTTTACCGCCGTGTTATCCGAGATTTTCATTATTCGAGGTAGTCTCGGTCCCGTTTTGCTTGGATAATTGGACTTCTACTGTACTGAGCCACTAAAAAAAATCACGATTGCCGATCCGGACTTCCGGGAGTCCGGAGAAGGCCGATCCGGATGAGCGAGAGTCTACTGTATAGTCTAATCTCTATAAGACGAATTTCAGGGGGTTGGAGAAAAATTCATATTATCAAGGTATTTTTAATAAAGAGGTTCGTTTTATCGAGGTTTAATGCTGCCGTTATTTGTCTTAAAGATGTTTCTCCTCTCTCTGGGAACCTCTATACAATGACTGAGGAAGGAAGAGGTATGGGTGGGGGTTTCATGTTGAGACAAGCTTCTGTTTGTTTTGAAAACTACGTACTATGGAAGTTAAAATCATGAGAAATTTTGTATTATAGAGGTCGCATTCGTCTTGTAGAGGTGTTGTGCTAAGAATATTCGTTGTAGGCTATAGATGTTAATCAGTCCTAGCCAATGTCACAAACAAATTTGTCATATGGATGTTTTTAACCTAGGTAATTACTACATTGTAGAGAGGTGTTTTTAGCATTGATCTTTATGAAAGATTCAAGGGGATAAAAAAAGAATTGTCTTATCGAGGAATTTGTTTTACCGAGGTTAGTACTAACGAAGTTCGACTGTACTAGTGTGTTTTGACAACTTTTGATCACACATGACCAAAACAGTTCATTTATATCTTTACTTGTCATATTTAGGCTATATCAAATTTTGCTCTTCTGTTGACGATTGTTGTTGATTTGGGTTACCTAGTATTTACTATTTTTGCCAATTTATAAACATGGTTATCTCCTGAAGAACAAGATTCTATAGTCAATTATGACCATTGAAATCTACGACTGATTTATATCTTACCTTGTTAATATCTTTTTATAATTCTTGTTAGAAGTGGGCTATTATCTTTTAATTGAGATAGATCTTCAAAATGTAAACACAGCACTGGTTATCATATCAATCTGGACGTTAGTAATTTTCTCCCTTGTTAGCTGATAGTTAAAAGCTATTGACTCTACTTTAATCTGGGCTACCTGCAATAAATCCGCAGGATATTACCACATAACTAGACTGTCCCTCATTTATAATGATACGATTGTAATGTGAAACTACTACTAGTTATGTAATTATGACTTTTTTGCTTCAAGGATACGGTAGATCTACTTCTCAAGAACAAGGCAGAAGTGAACGCAAGAGACAAAAATTGGCAGACACCGCTGCACGTCGCTGCAGCTAACAATGCCGTGGAGTGTGTAGAGGTTATGTTGCCTCACCTGCTAAACATCAGCATTACAGACCGAGGAGGTCGCACATCGCTACACCATGCAGCCTACAATGGCCACCATGAGGTAATGGCATGGTTAAAAGTTTGAGTTTAAAAAGTCTTGTAGGTTTATAGTTTAAGTTAACAAATTATTCCATAGGCCTTACATCTGACTTCAAGTTGAAAGATTGGGGTTTTCTTGCAGGATTTCAACCTGCATTATGGCACACACCAGTGACTTATTTCCAACAGAAAACTCTAATAACAATAATGATACATTACATTGGTAACAGTTTTATGGCAGAAGATGAAATGGCTTGAAACAACTAAAGTAGAGCTTCACTTGTGTTTCTGTTTCCTATCATTGTTGAACTTCTTTAAAGAAGTGTTGAATAAAGTGTTGTTTAAGCAGTGCAAAGAGTTTTAAATACTTTTCAGGCCCTTAAGTCCAAACTCTCTTTACAGCTTCAAAAGATTTTTTTAATGGCTTGAAACAACTAAAGTAGAGCTTCACTTGTGTTTCTGTTTCCTATCATTGTTGAACTTCTTTAAAGAAGTGTTGAATAAAGTGTTGTTTAAGCAGTGCAAAGAGTTTTAAATACTTTTCAGGCCCTTAAGTCCAAACTCTCTTGACAGCTTCAAAAGATTTTTTTAAACGTTGACGAAAGACCTTAGGCTGTTGCCTGAATAGCATGATTTTACAATACTACTTTCAGTAGGTTATAGTATTTTTCAGGCTATGGTTAGTAGCCTACATAAAAAACTTTTTTACTTTTAGATGGCAGAACTACTTATTCAACACGGTTGCATTGTAAATGCTCGCGATAAACAAATGCGGAGACCTTTACACTACGCCTCATATCAGGGCCATGAAGATCTCGTGAGGCTTCTGCTGAACCACGGTGCTGATGCTAATGTCAAGGATAAGGCGGTAAGTTCCATGAAATTTAAACATTACAATTTTATTTCTACTCTATTCTCATAAACTTAACGTCAAGCAACCTCTTGATGTGCCTAAATCAAGGAATAAAAGGAGGACTGTAGATTACATTACTGTAATTACTTTTAATTAACTGCTCAAATGTGTAAGGCTGTGGAAGATCATCATCCAGGTTGATCCAGGGTACAAACCTATGCTATGGTGCAGCTTAACATTTAAAAAATAATGTGTCTCTGTAAGGGAAAACAGACTGGAATGTATTTTCACAATAATTTGTACCTGGAGGATCTTAGAACTTTATCTGTGTCTCTTAGTCATTACTACTCTCTGTCCCTCATCCTTATGATCCAGCTAAACCTAGATTAACTATCACTAACCAGTCACCATACAGTCTTTCTCAAGAGTTTGAAGATACATCGCTTTACGCCATAGTAAAGTATCCATCATAATGGGATGCAAGTATACTGTTGACATAGCATAGCTATAACAAGGGAACCTAGATTTGTGCAGTAACTTCCATTCCAATACATGTGAAGTGTGTCTGTTGGCATTTTTATGTTTTCCATGCATTAATCTCTTTCTCATGGCAACGCTTTGTAAATAAGTGAGTGTTATGCGTTGTTGTTCTCAAAATTCCATTAGACAGTATCACACGACGGTTTTGTACTGCTCAGGCTAAAGAGTTTAAAGACTAAAATTTAGCTGTTCACGATAATGCAAAATTTCTCGGTTTGTACGTAGATTCAAATTTGAATTGGAACAAAAGCATTGAAAATTTAATTAGTAGACTGAATTTGGCCCTATCTGTTGCCCTAGCGTCTATCAAAGCATCGGAAAATTTGAACAAAATAGAACTTTGGTTAAAACAAAATGGTCTTCATCTCAACTGTTCAAAAACACACACTTCATTTTCACAATCCCCACAGTTAAATACAGAAAAGGTAACTATCAGCTTGGATTCTGGGGAACAAATCAAGGCTTCAGAAAACATAAAATTTCTGGGTTTTTATATGAATGAACATTTAAAATGGACAGAACATCAATTTCAGGTGACTAAATCGTTAGCCAAAGCTTTGTTTGGATTAAGGGTCATCTTCAAAACAACGGGACTAAATGCTGCTTTGACTGTTTACCATTCCTATTTTATGTCCAGGGCTTGCTATGGCATTATATCTTGGGGCAGCTCTCCGATCATAGATGGGTTTTTTATTCTTCAAAAAAAGGCCATAAGAGTTTTAACTGACACTGCACCTCGTACTTCTTGTCGTCCTCTGTTTGTACATTTGAAACTATTAACAATTCATGCTGTGTATATATATCAACTATGTATATTTGTAAAAAAACACTTGACCTCATTCTCATCACAAAATCACCAACATCCATATAACACTCGACATAGAAACACTCTTCAGTTCCCTATCCATAGAACAGTTATTTATGAGAAAGCATCTTTGTATATGGGTAGGAAGCTATTCAACCACCTCCCTAACCAAATCAAATCGACAGAAAAGATGGATATTTTTAAAAAAACTACTTAGGGAACATTTGGAACTACTTTGTCCTTATTCAGTTGATGAATTTTTTTGTAACTAACTCTTTTTGTTATATTTTAATCTTTCGACCTTATTTTTTAATATATTACTACGGTAACTACAATGAAATAAAATAAATAATATCATGTATTTTGTTTGAAAAACTAACGTGTCATATGTTTACTGGTGATGTATCACAATTATGTAAATTCTATGTGACAAATAAATATTTAATTTAATTTAATTTCATTTGGCTTGTTATCAAATGATATGTATAAGAAACACAATTGACTTAACAACTTGTTTGATGTTATATTATGCATAGGCCTACTTCTATTTAATTCTTTATATGGAATGGAATTCTGGGGTTTTGCATCAAACATTGATTAAATTTTTAAGATTCAGAAAAAATGTTTAAGAGTAATGCCATTTGCACCATGGAGAACATCATGTAAGCCAATTTTTAAAGAATTATGAGTAACTAGTGTCCCTGTTGCTCGAAATCGAGCAATTGCTGAGTATTACAGGCTTTATTTTAAAACGAATTTCAACCAAGTCAGCAAGATTGCAGCAAACTGTTAAATTAGCAAACTTATTGACTGTTTACAATTAACATACGCTCTTCTTCTCACTTTAGATTTCTGACAACAGCTGGAGTTTCATAACAATTTTTGTTTCCAATGTTATTCTTATGGAGAAATACGAAACTTTAAAGGGCTCCATGGCCTCACTCTCTCATTATTTCCCTAAACAGAAAGTTTCCTGCACAACTTCACGTTACGCTCCTTCCAATGACACCAAAAACATGACAATCGGTTCAGTAGTTTCGGAGGAGTAATTGTCACAAAAAATCTGCTTGCGTATTAAATAAGTAATAGATGACTGTTCCGAGTTTCACAATTTTTAAAACACTTTTGATGGTAGAAGGAAATTTTGAAAAATTATATAGTGAAAACGTTGAGCATAGGAATGATACTAGGTTTGATACTTAACTTTCAATTACCGCAGCATCCTTTTTCATTTGTGGAGTAAAAAACCGATGTACATGGGCAAAAACTATTTAAAACACTGTCTTGAGAATTAAAGAACAAAATACAGTCCAAGCATTTCAAAAGCAGCCTTGCTAATTTTCTTTTAAGAAAAACCTGTTACTTGAGATTATTATGTTTAGATGAGTTCTTAACTAATCAGGTTGTGTAAAAATTAATTTGTTTTATTTAAATTTTTTAACTGATAAATCTTATTATACCACTTTTATTTTATAGTTTTAGTTTATTTTTGTCTTTTATAACTCCTTAGTCTTTTAAGGTATTTGTATGTTGACAATGTCATCTGTTTTATAGCATTGCTATATTAATTAAACTTTATGTGACAATAAAGATTTATTAATTTACACACAAATAAAACCTCTGAAAGCGCTTTATTGTCACTTAAAAGATCAGGTATTTAGGTAGGAATGTTTTTTCAGAAAAACACACCGCTGCATGCAGCCGCAGCCAGCGGGAACGTATTGGTGGCTAACACACTGATCGAGGTCGGAGCAGATCCTGACTCCAGAAACAACTTTGGCAATTCTCCCCTCCACATTGCCTGTCTCAACGGCCATGTGAACCTGTGTCAAGAACTCATATACTGCAAGGCCACCATCAACTGTGTCAACTTGAAGGGACAAGTGAGTAGGGAATGTGCCTCTATCCTGCATTAATGTAATCATTTAACCCTTGCAGCCTCAAAGGTACATCAGTCATAAAGAGTAACATTTGACAAAGTTGAAAATTAGTTTCATGCAAAAAATGCTTTTATAGTTTTCATATTCTTTTTGCTACAATTAAAACGCATATTTTGCCACAATTAAATTTAGAACTTACCTCACCTTTGAATAATTGCAGGCTATATAAAGTGGGAAGAGATCTTGAATCAAAATGTTACTTACACTATTTATTGTTTGTTATTTGTTAGTTATCCGTTTTATACAATTTCCAATAAGAAATATTTTAATGTTATCAATATCAATATTTTTTTCTTTTTCATTCAACTATTCACACAAAATTTTCTGTCTTTTGTCAAATTAAAGCATCACAAGTTTCTCACATTTGTGTCGTCGCTGTTTATTTAGACACCACTGCATCTGGCAGCAGCTTCCACTCATGGGAAGGATTGTCTAGAAGCTTTGCTCAAAGAAGGTGCAGATTTCAATGCCCAGAGTGAGGATGGACGAACTCCGCTTCACATGACCGCAATACACGGTCGCTTTACTCGCTCAAAAACACTCATCGACTATGGTAATTCATCAGATCGTAATCTCAGTGGGTGAATTTACCTGTAAAATCCATATGGATTCTTTGGCATTAGCAGGAATTTTAGTCCACATGTTAAAATCCATAACCAACTTAAAAATTTATTAGTTTGAAAATTTTGCTTGGTAGGCCTAATGTTATTTGTTAATGTACTTATAGTAAAACTATCATCTGAACTCCAACTCGCAGAAAGAATTTCAAAGACCTTAAACTACAGTACATTAGAACCTTGATTGTCCGGGGTAATTAGGGGGAGGAAGACCACGGATAACATTGGGGTGTGTTGCTAGCCTAGTGGCTAGCGTCTCGGACTTTGGTGCGGGAGGGACGGGTTCGATCCCCGGCACATCCACAAAACTTTAATGGGTTTGGACCGCTTTCCCTTAAAAGTGTTTGACATCATTACAAAAATGCCACTGGCGTAGACACGAGAAAAAAAACAGAAAAATGAAAATCACAGTTAATCCAACATGGTATAAATATGAAAGGCCCATAATAACACCATTATTCCGTATAAATATTCATTAATGTCATAATTTGGATTTTTACATCAACAAAATACCATAAATTGCACAATCAAGTCATTGACCTTGGATCAGTTGTAAAAACTGATCATAATTGTCCCTCTGCAATTTGTACGAAAGCGTGAATTCTTCTGCAAAATCTTTGCAGGCATGTTCAATGATAATGGTAAACGCTCAGCTCAACTTTGCCTATTTTTTTGTAAAATTCCCCAAATCATCCAATCATCCTCTTTTTCACTATCCCAATAGATTACGGTCCCAATTGGTTGGGATAATTGGAGCTCTACTGAAGGTGCTAGGTTGAGCTATTCGGTACATTGGTATTATACAGAGGCCACCCTTTTATAGCGCGCTGCAGCAGTTATGCTAGGTTGGGTTATTATAAATTGAAAGTATGACTCATCTGGTATTGTTTGATTCGTAAAGAAAGTCCTACAAACATATTTATGATAACCCAACCTAACAACCTATTTATGATAACTGCCGAAGCGCGCTGAAAATAAGTGGCCTCCATATAATACCAAAGTACCAGTTATTCTTAATGGTTTTGTCAATTTTACTCGTAGATCTGATTGAATCACTTTCATGTTTTGGTCACAGGAGCGGCAGTGGACAGCACAGATAAGAACGGATCAACTGCACTTCACATAGCAGCCTTGTATGGCCATGAACTGCTCAGTTCAACTCTCCTAAACCATGGGGCAGACCCTTCCAAGGCTGGCTATAAAGGTAAGAAACAATGCCTATGAAACTCAAACTGTGACAACTGTGTATGTCAACTGAACAGTTGTTGTTTGAGCAAACTGGAGTTGTGAAAGTAAACTGGAATCGAGGAGTCGTACAATCTGTATATCAATTGGATCTCTATAAGTTGTTGCCTGTTAAAATACATGATACTTATTGTACCTCATAGGCTATGAGTTGTGGTTTTAAGTTGTGATGGTGGGCTTACCTGACTGGGAAAGAGATCGTCGCTCTTTCTTCCTGACTCGACTCTACCTTGGTTAAAAATAGTCAGAAATAGTGGAGTATTGCAATTTTTGTGTATAGTTTAAAAAATAATTTGTTTATAGTAGTTTACGCAACGATTGCGTAAAGATAGTGTTAACAAAACGAGTCAAAAATTTAAGGTACAAGCCTTGACGAGTGCCTTAAAAACATCTACGAGTGTCGTTAACACTATTTACGCGAGTTGCGTACACTATTTTACCTACGACAGTGTTTTAATTACTAAAAATCACTACTCATAACTTCTAAGATAGGTTATGTTTTTTTTATAACCTCTCATTGTTACTGACAGTGATGCAACGAAACATTGTTCCAAAACACTAATTGTACCCTCCACCAATTAAATTGACCTAAACAGCTGATTACCTAAAGTTCAAATCATTACAATTTTTACTTCTCTCTCAGTCCTTGAACCTTATTGGTCTGTTACCCGTGTTTTTATGAGTAAAACCATGCTGTTATGAAAGTAAACAATGCTGTTATGAGAAACTTTTCAATTCTAAGAACTGAACTGAAACGGCTACTTTAAAAAAAAGGTCGTAGTTAAAAATAATTTATTGTGCCTGAATAGACAGTTTTCAATTCATGTAAGCGTATTATTTCAACACTCCTCAATTAATTGCTATGAATGCAGAAAAAAACGTTGATAACTTGATAGGCTGCTACTTGTCAGTTGAAAAAAAAACTTATTCAATCGAAAGCTTATAACATCTGAATACCTCTATATTATAACACAATTAGGGTTTAAAATATGGAAAAGAGTTTGAGAGCCAAGTGTATTGCTTAGGTCGCACTCCACTACACATGTGCTGTCTGGGAGGCTACGTGGAGTGTTGTCGTAAGTTTCTACAGACGGGGGTGGATCTGGATGCGCAGGACGCAACAGGCCAAACACCTCTCCACCTCGCAGCGTTCAAGGGGTAAAGCTATCTGTGAAATTAGGTAGAAATAAAAGCTAAAAATATTTTACAAACTATGTTTAGCCAAAATTGTGTGACAAATATTTGTAAATTGTGAGACCTAAAAGATCTGATTTTGTAGTCTTAAATAAATTTTTTTTAATTGAGTACACAAGGCTGCATCAAAATTTACTCAGTTATCCCTTCATTTATTGTAAGCTAGTAATTTCTTTCAATAATTTAACTTCATGTGGAAAGTGGGATGCCTACACTTCTATAATTTTTAGGGTAAGTCTTCTTATCCTGTCATTTGTCTCTTTAAATAATTAGATTAAGTTATCTCCATAACTTACCTTTACTTTTATCATTCGTCCACAAAGGTTAATGTGAACTAAAATTACATACAGTTTATGGTTAGAAATGTAATATGTCAAACAGTTTCTAGGTAAGCCAAAAATTAAGACAACATTTTAATACAATTAATTAAGTTACAAAGGCCAAAAAAAGCAGGACCTCTTTTTTTACTTTTTTTCTGTTCTCACTTTCATTATGAAACTCTCCACTCACTCACTTAGTATTCAATAATACTGAATTGAATTTTGTTGTCCAACATAAGCTATGCATATTCATATTCAAACATCTTTATTCATTATACGTAACTCATGTACATTGGTGGTATAGTGAATAGTGTCTAAATACATAAAATGATAATACGTACAATCCATGCATACAGCAAAACCATAGCTAAGGGGTTGGCTAAAGCCTGAATGTTTCCTCAAGAAATACTAACGTTGTCACTGATGTTATAGGAGTGTGGAGTGTTTAGACCTGCTGGTTAGCAAGGGTGCCAACTTTCAGCTGGTTGATCACTATCAGAGAACACCGCTGCACATTGCGGCTGTGCAGGGCCACTATTCCTGCCTTTACACACTTGCTTGCTTCGGCTCAGCTGTCAATGAACAGGACATTGAAGGGTGTACTGCACTCCACCTGGCTGCGGTTTACGATCTCGAGGGCAAGTGAGTGGAAATTTGAAAACAAAAAAACCAGATGAATGTGTAAATCCATCCGTGTGTTGTGAATGTGTGGTAGGTAAGTATTCAAGGATTTAATGTTGTATACAGTATTGATGTACACTCTACAACAATTTCGTCAACAATTTTAAAGTCTGCAGTACCATAATGGAATGTGTCTAAACTACCTAACTCTTAAAATTATTGTTTTTTTTTATCAAAAAGAGTCCTCTCTGGCAAAAAAAAAAAAAAAACAACACTTTACACTGTAAAAAAATTTGGATATTTGACTGTGACTGGCAACTTGCAAATGCTGCCAGTGACTGTTAAATTCAAATTCAAATTCACTTTATTGTCACATAAAACATTTGTTCATAGCAAAGCTATTAGACATGTGACATTGTCAATTCAATATAAACCTAAAAATACAATTAAGTTACAGAACATTTTTGTCTGACTCTAAAACAACAATTACATATAACAATGCTGCTTAATTTTGTAAAAAGTCACTTACAGAGTAAAATACTTGGTTTAAAAGATAACTTTTTAAAGTATTCTTAAAACTCTTTAAACGGATTTGGCTTTTAATGTTTGTCGGTAGATTATTAAAGAACTTCATACCCATGTAACTAGGGCCCTTTTCATAGATTGTTAAGTTATGTATTCGGTATTGAAAATTGTCTTTGCACCTTGTGTTGTATGCAAATGCATGTAAATGCTGCTGTCCACAAAGAAGATAAAAATTCTTCTGAATGAACAGTAAGCATGAATATATGTAGAGAGAGGGAAGGCTCAATAATCCTAACTGTTTAAAGATTGGCTTGCATGCGACTCGTGGCTGCAAAAATGTCATAATGCGGACAATTCTTTTTTGAAACTTGAACATTTTTTTCCAATCAGCCGATGAACCCCATAGCTCAATTCCATATTTCATAATGGAATAAAAATAGGCAAAATAAACCATTAATCTAGCTATAAAAGGTATAAAATTACCTGAGTACTGCCAGAGTGATCCTGTTAGTCCTTACAAAAAAATAGTGAAAATAGTAAAATAGTGTTACTCCTTGATCACTCTGGCAGTACTCAGGTAATTTTATACCTTTTATAGTTTGTTCTGTGATCCAGAGACAAAACAACTCAAAATATGAAGCATTAATCTAGTTTCTATCCCTTAACACAAGCATTTGGAAACAAGCAGAATTCAGTTTATTGCCGAGTATTGTTATGTATTTTTTCCAGTTTAAATTTCGGTCAATTGTTAATCCCAAAAATGTATTCTGTATTTTAGATGTAATTTCAGTATTTAAAAACTCAACTGTGAATTTTGTAGTCATTACTTTGTGCTGTTTGAAATTTCATCAGATTTGTTATTTCACAATTTAGTTTTAGTCCATTAGTACGAAACCATACTTCGTGCTTAAATAATTGGATTTTCAGCCAAGGACGGTCAGAGTGACCTCTTGCCTGTTAAAAGCCTGCTAACATACACAAATCTTTATTTAGTATCAGTAAACTGTGATCTCTGCTCAATTGTATAGAATGTTGCAGTGTGGCTGAAATAAGAGACTATCCATTTACCATCCAATTTTTGTGTTGATTATGCCTACCAAAGTGTTACGAATTAGAGTGATGTGACATTTAAATTGAGTTATGATGTGAACAGTTTTTGATGTTATTTGCTGATGTGGTTTGTTATCTAATGGCAGATGTGTAAAGTACCTGGTTGACCACAAAGCCAAGCCAATGTTGCGGGATAGGAGAGGGTTCACAGCGTTCCACTACGCTGTGGCCGGTGGCAACTCTGCGGGACTGGAGGTGCTGCTATCATCCAACAACTTGCACACACTCTACACAAGCGATCTACCTAAGTTGACACCTCTGCATCTGGCGGTACGTTCAATAATTAGTTAATTTTTTTCACAACACCAACAAGACTTCAGAGTCCGCGAGCTAGTTGCTTTTTGGGGGCTTGGCTATTTTACAGTTTTTTTTTAATGCCAGGTGATTAAAAACTACCTAATAAATAACAATAGCATCGGGACAGAGAATTTGGTCCAAAAACCTTAAACACACACGGAAGTTAATAACTAAGTATAAAAACTGTGTGCTGGTGTGTATGATGATGTCAAATCCAATGACACAAAGTAAACAAAACAATGTGCAAACTTTTGCAAACAACTAGTAAGTACACAACAGCTCCGTACTTTTAAGCCGAAATATGATTTGGTGTTAAGCTGTTTCTTCTGACGTTATTGTCCAAATGTTTTTTTATAAATTTTTTATCATTTAGCGCAGGATTTACTGCATCTATCTGTAACCTTAAAATGCTTCAAACAATTTCCAAACTAACTGCCTTTATAACTCTGTAAAAATTACAAAGTATTTATATTTTTAACTTTAAAAATGTACTTAAGATAAACAATTCTAAATTTGAGGTTATAGAAAGCTATAAATACCCTTAAACTGAAAGAAAACACTTTTTCTTTAATTCAGTTGCTACAAATAGTGTGGGAAACAGCTTAATGACATGTTTTGCCTATTTTAAGAGGGGTGACGAAGACTCTTGGGTATAACCTATTAATCGTCAGTACTTAATTATGAATAGTTTCAACACATATTCATAATACTTATGTTTTCAGGCTTACTATGGCCACACAGAGATATTGAGAATGCTTCTTCCCCTGTTTTCTGATACCAATATGAGGGACTCTTCTGGGAGGACACCTTTACACCTTGCTGCATCGGAAGGTAAGATTTATAGTAATTGCATTTGAAAGTAGACTTAATGGTTTGAGCTTAACACAAGCAAAATTTGTAAGTTTGTGTTTGTCAAGAAAATAACACTCTGCATATGATGGGTAGGATACATGTAGATGGTTAAGAGAGCTAGCTTTCTTATGTGGTAGTTTTAAAAATCATCCGGAGTAATCCTGTGACCCTAATTATCAGTGGTAAAATTCTTAACCCGGCAGAGGTCGCACTGAATTGAAAACACGAGGAGACGCACACAATCTTTTTGACCGGGAACAAATAAAAAGCCATATTTGAGTAAGCATTAAATTTTAATTGCTCAAAATCATAAAAATGGTGTTAAACATTTAATTTACAACCTTCTGAATATATGCTTTAAATTATAAAACATAAAATGGACAGTTGTAATAAAACCATACACCTATACAACCGTTTCATATATAACTCAATAATGCCTCAAAAGTTTGTCATGTATCTATAAATGACAAAAACATATGAAGCAAACTGTAGGCTATTGTATAAAAAAGGTCAGTTATATATCATTTTAAGTCATCCATTGTCTTCTGAAGATAAAATTACTTTTATGTTTTAAGATTCGTCTTTATCATAAATATTTTTGTGTCCCTCATCAATGGTTCATTGAAAAAGTGGCATAGAAAATATCCTACAAGCTACAAGCCTCACTAAACATTCAACATACTCATGTCTCTCAACACGACGATAGACTATCCAATCTTTACACGTCTAGCCACTGAGAGGTACATAAATACTTCTCCGTGACTCAGCAGATAATTTAATGGTAATACAAATTAATTGGAACTGTAGCCAGTCAAAAGTTTAAAAAAATAAGCATTAATTTACAAATGACGAGGAGACGCACACTGTCTAATTGACCGGTAATTCCAAAACACACACGGTGGAATAGACAGGTACATGACAAAAAGCTGTCGCCTGACTCAAATGAGGAGGTTGAAGGATGGCAAAAAATAAGTCACATTATTTCTGGAATGTGGTGTGTTATGCACTGTAGGCCTAAAGGCTGACAATACCTACAACCAATCAATGTAATTTTTACACAAAAAAGTACAAACCCGGTCATTTAGACAGCTATGCAATCTCTCACGGGTAAAGCAATTTAGTTAGGGTTGTGGTTGATAAACATGTCTAAAATTAACTCCAGTAAGCATGCTTTGTCAAAATGGTATTTCGGTCAAATGAGATTTTTTCAAACTAGAATAAAAGTTGAAATTAGTGTGTCAGAGTTTTGTTGTTGTCAGGTTACTCACAATGTGTACAGCTGCTACTGAGGTGTGGCTCGTCAGTGTGTGTACATGACACTGTGCTGCAACAGACCCCTGTACATCTAGCAGCTCGCTCTGGTCATCTCAACTGCTTATCTTTGCTGCTGGACAATGCTGAGAACATGGCTGTTGTGGACACACCAGACATGTACAAGAGGTATATACACCTTTGATTTCCACTTATTTAGCAAAATCGAGAATGTCTTCAGGGGACACGGAAAAACCATGAAAACCACGATCGCGTCAGACGATGATGACTTTTTGTGTGACCACGGAAGACAACGATAATGTCTACACTACTGCGGGATATGGTCATGATTCTGCCCCTATCCCAGAAGGCAATGCTGATGTTTCTTTACTGCAGGGGTTATTCGGGGTTTTGCTGTGACCGCAGGAGACAATGACAACGTTCACACAACCGCGGAAAATGAACAAAATTTTGCCATAATTGCTGAAGACGATGCTGATGTTTCGTTACCACAGGGGTTATTCAGGGTTTTGCCATAACCGAGGGAAATGTTTTTAAAATAATGGAATCAATTGATTTGAAATTGAGAATCGATTTCAGAGAATCAAAATCGGCATAGAAAATTTATTAAAATCGACCCATTACACTTAATAAGATTTACCTTAATTTAAAATGTAAGTTGTCTCAAAAGTACATTGGGTACAAATTCTCACTGCTACAGCAAACAATGTCTAAACAAATGTCTTTTGCAAAATACTAACTTTACAGATCATTTCAGTATTAAAAGAATGAAGCAAGATACATTATATATTCTGTCTCAGTTCTATAACCACTATTTGTTACTCTTGTGTCCATTTATACCCAAGAAAAGGTGTGGCTTTACCAACTATCTGTCTTAATTTATGTTCATCTGCTTCTTCTTTATTGGCTCTCAACAATCTCATGTCTTTAGTTTCTTCTTCACCTCTTCTATCGGCAAAACGACGTAGTGACATTTCTAAACAGTTACTCAACATTTTTTTGTCAGAGGTAGGCCTACACGATTATCCTTGCTGTTTATGTGTAGTTTTTAGTGTTGTAAATACACAGTGATTAAAAACTTAAAAACGCTGATTTAAAATTTGACCATTTAGTTATCAATATCATACAATTTTGTTGTAGAATGTACAACATTTTCCTTGCTGTTTGTGTAAAACTTGTATTAGAGTAAATACAATGCGATTAAATTTCCTTATACTTAATATCCATTGTGAAAAGTATCCTCGGATGTGTCTGTTCTAATTCTGTTGTTTGTGCAGAACTCCGCTGATGCTTGCTGTAAGCTCTGGTCACACTGATTGCGTCATATTGCTGCTCAAGTCCAAAGCAGACGTCAACACCGTGGACAAGGACAGACACCCAGCTCTCTTCAGAGCTGTAAGTATAAATCTACAGTGTGACTGTGTAATGATAAAAAATAAATAATCTTATGTCTATAAAAAATGTAAGATCTTTTACACAAAGTGGTCACCCCTTTCTAATAATTATATTCTTCAACAACAGCAGAGCGTAGTGGAAGCCAGTAACACGGCTAATTTTATGATGTTTGATTGCCCAGAGGTCCTTGGGGATCTGTGGAGAATGTTTGGTACACTATTCTAAACACTAAAACTGAATCTATCTTGTTTTATGACTAATGTTTTGCTGCAATGCTAGCAGTATCTTTTTCTTTTCAAAAATATGAAATTGAATATGAAATTACTATCAGCTTGGAAAAACAAATGCTCTACTGAAATGTCATTAATACTAAATTAATAATCAGTACTGTATTGCTTCTATTGAGTACTATAATTTGAACAATTTACTAACTAAAATAAACAATGAGAATTGAATTGATATAACAATGAATTAGTAAGTTAAATTACACTGAGTAGAAATTGTAACTTGAGTTAAAAAGTTTTAAGCTGATATTGTAATATATTGTCTTATTGAATCAATTGAATCTGACACCATAAAACTTTACCTTGACTGATAACACGGGTATAATGACAACTACAAGAGTATTTTGACCAAATATAATAAGTAAGATTGAATAACACAAATATGCCCAATGATCAATACAAAACTATCAAGGTATAAAGCTATAAAATAATATCTATTTTAGCATAAACATATTAGATCGTCCTCCAAACAGATTGAATTTTATGACGAAGGGGTGTCTGAACAGATTATCTTGATATTGGAAATTATTTAAAAAGTTACTGACAGAGGGGGATTGGCACGAGACCTGGAGTTTCTAAAACGATTTCTTATTTATTTAAAGTAATTATGTTTGAGGCTGTAGAGTACCCAAATGTATAGGACAACTGGCCAGTCGTTAAATTAGGCAAATGGGGATTTTAGGTGGAATTAATCACACCATTGTTGTCGTATGCAGTAGACAGGCTAGCTCTGAGCTAAGCACATTGGGTTATTATTTTAACTTTGTGAGAGTTATTGAGTCTAATGGTACTCGACCTGACAGCCTATAAATCTGTTAGAAAATTGATTTGAATTTACTCCTGGTTTGCCTTCCTCCAAAATTGTATTATAAAACCCCAAATTGTTCAGACACCGAATTTGATTTAGAGTGACAAACTTTGTTGGCTAATGTTACAATATATGCAATGATCAGAAAATGTAATTAAAAAAACCTCTTTAGTTACTTAGACTTGAGATTAACAGAATATAATAATAATTGATGTGCTGATAATCAACTAATAAGTTTGTAAGAAAGAGACAAATACAAAACTATCCTTTGTGACACATTCTACAACAATGTAACATAATATATGGAATAGTAATTAACTCAGTAAAATATCACAACAATGGTATATTAAATTTTATAACATAAATGGATGGCACTGGCTGAACTAATAACTGAATACAAATAAAATTACTCACGTTTCGGGTCGACCCTTAAATCTAACACAAAACTTATATTTAAGACACTTTAGCCGGTGGCAAGTTTACACAACCGTAAATTTATTTAATAACGCCGACGAATTTAATTTTCGACCAGATCAAACAATATTAGATCCTAACGTCCTCTTGGACAAGTTTTGCGGTTTTAAAATCAGACAAAAAACTGTTTTCCAAGCAATCAATTTATAATTTAGAACTTGTTTCGCGACAATTGTACTTTTACTAAAAGATACAGGCCTGCAAAGCTAAGATTCTAATTTTAATACTCGACCAAATACGCAACGAACTTTTAATAATTGCTGATACAAATGGTACGTGTTTTACAAACAAATCTCGCCCACCGACTGACTGACTTTATCCTGACCTTCATGTCGTCCCTTCCACTCAGATTTTTAACGGTCAAGGCTGTGATTGGCTGATTTGAATTTGTTTGTTGTTTGCAGGAAACTGGAGGTATTTCATGATTCCAGGCGAATTTGAATTTAAAATCGGTACAACTGAAAAGTCCTGGAATGGCGTAATATATTTTTGTACTATTATAGATAAAGAAAAGAAACTCGGTAAATCAATTATAGCCATATATGTCTACTCTTTTAAACCATTATTACTTTTTTATCCCTTAAGAAGTCTGGCCCACGAGGAGTCAAATGAAATTCTTAAATATCAGCATAGGTCGAAGAATTTGGTCTCAAATTAAAGGTATTCGTGCCACAAACACAATGCCACAATGACACAAACACATACTCAAAAGGACAATGGAGTGGAAAATGACAGCTGTTCAAAGGTTCCTTGAATTTGCAATGCTTATTATAGGCCTACATTATACTGTGGTGCGCCTGCTAGAATCCGGAAGAAAATCATAAACGTAAGCATAGGTCAGCATGCACATGACATTAAAGTTCTTTTATTAGTAGAATACAATACCCAAATGTGAGCTCAAAATAACCACTGGGTAAAAATGTCAGTGGTTCAAAGATTCAAAATGGCATATTCAAGAAATATTTGAACAGCTGCCATTTTTGACTGGTTGTCCGTTTCATTTTGGGTTTGCGGCAATGTGTTTTATTAAATAAGACCTTTATTTTGATGCCAAACTTGAGCTATGCTGCTATTTGAGAATTTTGTCTTATTCCTCGTGGGCGTGTAGTGTCTTACGAGTGCCGTGAAGTTTTGGCGCACACCACTGCAGCGTCTGTTGTTAGCAGACGATGTGATGAGGAACTGACAATGGCAGCGAATCGAACACCAAGCACGCTCTAGCGGCACATCGTGAAACCTTCCTTTGACAGTCTGTATTTATTCTATTTGTCTATGGTTCAAAGGTAGACACAATACCTTTGACAGCCCAAACACACTAACTTGGAATATAACAACTTCCTGGCCACCAGTGGACGTCTCTCACAGACATATCTCCCTTTCCAACTCAAACCCTTCAAGTATTGAAAATGCTGTAAGTTATAATTCTTTTGTGTAGTTTACAGTCAAGTATTGTGCAACTTGTGCCTGAGTAGACTGATCCAGGTAAGCCTGCTATCCTGACAAATATTCTTAAAACCTAGGTCCTTGTGCTATATGTTTACAATTATAATGTTTGTTGCAGGTGGTGTTTGGCCATACTCAGATACCAGAGCTGTTGTTGGCCCAGGGAGCTGATGTCATGTTCCAGGACCTCAACGGTAAGACATGTCTCCACCTGGCAGCGGCTTGCGGTCACACTCATTGCTGTCAGGCCATCCTGGACCACTGTAAGAGCAGCCAGCGCGACCTGCTGGCCAACATGCAGGACTACCAGGGCTGTACACCACTGCACTGGGCGTGTCACAGTGGTGAGTTAACTCACCTCACCCTTACCATGGAAAAAGGGTGTGGAGCTACCTCAAGGTTACCCATAGTTCCTTTGGGTGATTTAGCTAACTTAAAACTCTCTTACAAAAACAACTTTATTCCTAACCCAAGAAAAAACAAAAAGAGTACTAAGATCTCATGGGGCAGCCCCCCCCCCCATAGACAAGAGTATTTTTATCTTATAAAAAATTGCCATTCAAGTTTTAGCTGATTCCAGACCACGTTCCTCTTGCCACCTTTTTATTCAGATCAATCTCTTGACAATTTATGCAGTTTATATTTTTCAACTGTGCATCTTTGTAAAAAGAAATTATAAGGAATTTATGTTGAAAAATTACACTCATCACACCCGACACCCGACACCACCCGACACAGGAATGATCTTCAATATCCTGTGCATAGAACAGCTCTGTATGAAGGATCGCCATGGTACATGGGTAGGACAATTTACAATAACCTCCCAGAACAAATTAAGTTATATTTTAAAAGAAAATTAAAATCTTATTTCATTCCCTTGTGTCCTTATTCCCTAGAAGATAAAAAAAATGTAGTTTTAGATGTGATGTATTGATTAAAAACAAAGAAACTTACCATAAGGTATTATTAGTCAGTAAAGTAGTATTGACATGTCATGTTTAGATGTAAAAATCACATCATTAAAAAAATCAAAAAATCATTTAATTTCATTAGTAAAATTATTTTTTTGGCCTAGGAAAATGGATAACCTGGAATCGTCCTTGAATTCTATTTTAATGGATTGGTGGACAGTGTCCAGCGACATTAAAATTAAAATTTAGTGTCCAGTGGACACCCTTAGAGCTAGAGCTTGTAGAGCTGCAGTAACTTCAGTTTTACTTAAAATAAAAACTCACTTATAAATTAATACAAATTATATTTAGAAATAACTATAGTTGCAGCTAATAAATATTCTATTTTCAGGAAGTGCACGGTGCGTAGAGTTCATATTGGAACAGAAACTTGCCAAAATGATGGAAGGGAATCCATTTTCACCTGTGCATTGTGCAGTGTAAGTTCTAGTGTATTCTGGTTTTAAGTTGTGGTCAGGTTTAACCCATTGGCGCCGACTTACGAGCGTTACTCGTACGGCCGCTGCAGGCCCGGAGGCCGACTTACGAGAGCCGCTCGTGTCACCGCCATTTTTTATTTAGTTATTATTATTTTTCACCCTTTTTGTTTCTTCTTACTATTATAATGTTTATAAATATCTTGCTTCTTGATTTGCGTATTTACTCATTTATTTTAGCGAATAACAAACAATTTTGTGTTGCCATGGAAACCACATATCACCAAAAATCAGCTGTGGTAAGGTAAACAAACAATTAAAAAAAAATGTTATTACTTATAAAAGTACACAACTTTTGATTTTTCTACGTAGGGAATCGATCGACCTTTATAATAGTAGTGTTATTTGGTGTCTGGATTAATCTTGGAATTTGTATATCAAGTTTACTTTCAAAATATTGTTCTGAAAATTTTTATTTTTATAATCTTTATATATATATATATTTTTAGTTTAGAACTTTGACTATCCAATTAACACTTTTCTGTAGACAATTTTACTGTGAACAAAATGGTGAAAGAATTATTAATTTATTACCTAAGGTTGTCTTTCTATAGCAGTTAGAGTAAAAGTCTACAAATTCGGTAAAATTAATTGCCGCCAGAGGGTGCTGCAGGTAGCGGATTAATTCCTTCCCCAATGGGTTAATGTGATTTGTTCATTATTATAATTATTAATTGGGATGGGGACGTCACCTAGGTGTGTATTTTAAATTAAATATGAATGAACGATGAATTACGAATGTATTGAAATAATCTGTTGTGCCAAGTGTGAGAAAAGATGTGCCAAATTATTTCCTGAAATCAAAGCATATCCTTGCTCATTACACAAGACCTTCTTTAGAATCCGATGTATGGAATCGGCTTTATTAGGTACATTGGTACATTATTCAAATTATAACATAAAATCTACGCCTAGTTCGGTTATTTGTTAAATGATTATAGTTTTTGTTTTCCTGGAATCTTTCAACTGGATATATGAGGAGCTGGTCATATAATTTCCATTTCAAAACAAGAAAGCTAATTGTATGAAAAGCTTCAGGCAGGTTTACTTATGGTAATTTTGACTGAGGTAAATTCAGATTATTACTTTGTCAAATCTGAATCTCAGATGATCTCATTTTCACACTGAGATCAAGCTGTGATCGGAAGAGATGCTTATAGATTTTGCTGCTATCGAGAAAACAAAGTTTAATGTTTGGGTTACTTTATTAGTATAATCGCAAATTAAAACGTCAGAAAATTGGGTAATTAGACATCTTTGTGTAGGTACCAAGGCAGTGAGCACTGTTTGGATCTGATGATCTCATACTTTGGTCCGAACGTGGTGTGGCTTAGGGACTCCCATCAGTACACCCCACTACATGTAGCAGCTCTGTCCAACTCCGTAGAGTGCTGCCACATGTTGCTGAGCCAACGAGCCCCGGTGGACGAGACCGACTATAGAGGACGCACGCCACTCATCTGTGCAGCCTCCCGTGGACACATACTCATACTGGGTCAGTTGTAGTAGCATTCCTCTATATAATCATTAAACTTTTAGGACAATATTAGCTCATTCCTTAATAGAAGCACTGATGCCATCTGATGTATTTTTTATGATTCATGGTAAGGGGCACTCTTTAGGTCTGGGCACATCAAACATAGCTTATGGTGCTAGTGTACATCATTGCATAACTTATGAATAAAGATACGAGGGCCGTTTTTCAATTAAGGGCCGTTTGTGCGTTTAGCTCTTTAGTTTGCATTTGCCGCAACGAGGCTCCTTGCCGCTTACTGGCATCATTTTTGAACAAAATGACACCATCTGTAGCTAACAACATCTGCTTCGCTGTATGTTTTTAAAATGATCAAATCTCCCGCTGTGTGCAAGATAAGGTCAGTGATACGGTTTTTTATTACAAGAAACATATCCGATGCAGACATTCATCGCCAGATGACTAAAGGTTATGGCCCCAATGCAATGAGTGAGATTAAAGTGCAGAAATGGATTATGGAGTGTGAAATTGGCCGTGAAAACCTTTTTCATTTGTGGTTTTCTGTGAGCAGTAAACCCATAAACCCAATTCCTTCTGAAATAGACATCAGTCATTACCCGATGAATGTAAGCGTCGGATATGTTTCTTGTGGTCAAAAACGTATCACTAGACTTATCTCGCACGAGGGGGGAGATTCAATAATTTAATAATTTTTTAAACACACAAAACATACGAGTCCACTACAGAGCTGCATATCGCAGCATTCTGTTCGCAAATGGTGCCAGTAAGTGACGAGGAGCCTCTTAGTGGTGTACACACGAAGAAGCTACGCACAAACAGCCCTTACTTAAAAAACGACCCTTGTATTTTCAAATCAATAAGACTTTTTGCTAATGAAAAATATTGGTTTAGGCATTCAACTTTTTTAAATAGTTTTTTTCCAAGAAAATGTATTATCAATTTTGGTTCATTTGTGCGGATAACTGTAGTTGTACATATACACCTTGCTAACAAGTTTTCTTTACTTCATTCCATGTCGCTGTTTAAAATATTAAAAAATATCAATATTAAAAATGGTTGACATTTTGGTTGGATTGACTTATGGTTAAAATAATATTGTGAGCCTTTATCAACATTACTGCCAACTTAAGAATTTAATATCCAACAAAGGTAGGTGTACATTACAATGCTTGTTGTAACCTCGAGTTATTTTTGATCAGAGCTACTGCTGGAGTGCAGAGCTGACGTGCGTGCAAGAGACTCGCAGTTGAACACAGCTCTGCACCACGCATGTCGCAACAAACACTCAGACTGTGCGCTCATGTTGCTGGATCGAGTGCAACATCCGGGCATAATCAACATGGTCAACAAGCAGCGACGGACGTGAGTTGTGCATGTTATATGATCAATATATTACTCAGATATAGCAAAAATGGGAAATGGATAAATTCAGATTCTTGATTCCTGAATACCTTCGATACCAAAAAATGTGTGACTGACAGTTTCGGAAAACTTTTAAGTATCGCCTGCAGATCATCTCTTAGATCCAGTTTGACTTGTTCAGGGACGGCGATTTACTCATGTTGTGATCATCTTTTTATTTGTGTAAAAGCCATTAAAAACCATCCTTCCAAAATGAATAGGCTAGTTATTTGAATAGTTAGAATCTAAGACATGGTGCCATGTAGTTGTGTCAGATATATTTATTGGTCTATCAACAACACCTGTATGTTGGTTCTGTTATTCAATTGAACTATTTTTAAACATTCCTCAATTTTTATCTTCACTAATTTTTCTTTTCATATTTATTTTTTACTATTGAACTATCAGCAGTGTGTAATCAGCTGAATTTTTACATTATAAAAAAAGTTTAGTTACCTTTTTGCGTCAAACAGTCTGTGTTTTCGCAACATCCACCAGCGCCTGTCTCGTGTGTTCGTCACTTGGCCAAGTTTGTAAATTCGTGTCATTTAAATGTTTTTTGTTTATTTCGTGTATATTGACCTATTTATCTCAACAAGTTTGAATGAATGCTTTTTTATCTAACGTTCTACCAACAACCTGAAGATGTGCCCTAGTGGCACAAAACAGCTGTAGTTGCACTAACTACACACGGATCGTTTGACACAAAAAGGTAACATAAACCATTTTCATATTGCAATTTACGATCCAGAGGCTTACCCACCATGAATTTTTACATCTGATCAATTAACTTTTTCAATACAGTAGACTAATTTTTGTTCTGATATGTTTGGTTTGAACTTTGGTTAGTTGGGCCCCAAAAACAGACAAATTAATCAAAGTCACAACTGTTTGTTGGTCCCGCAAACTCGCCACTCGATAACCCAGCAGTCTCGATAACTCGGCCATTACATGGCTCAGAAAATTAGTGATTTTTTAAGTCCAAGTTAAACATGGACACAAGCCAGCTCAAGTCAAATCATTCGCAACTCGTACCAAGGATTTGTTGTACTATATCTGATGACTTAATACTGACTTGTAATATAAATATAAATAAAAAAGGCAGTAAAAAGCTTAAAAATTGTACTTTTCTTATTTTTAACCCTAGTTCCTGATAAGCCGGAATTTCACAAACTCGGCACCCTTCCAGTCCACATTACGCCAAGTTTGCGGGACTCTACTGTACTTGCAGAAAATATTGCTGCAAGGGTCATTTAAAATCCCCTTGAAATTATTTTACCCCTAATCACATGTTATTGAAAAACTTGATAACAAGTCAACCTCGATAACAACAAGTCTTATTTTATAATCCCTATGAGAGTCTTGTTATCAAGCTTCTACTGTAATTGTTTAATAAAATACCTTGGTTTACTAATGTATGGTTTTAAAACATATACATCCATTTTGCCACTAACTTTAAACGGTTTGGACTGTCGTTTTTAAACCAACCTAAGTAAACCTATTTGGTTCTGAGGTGTCTAATGGATAGAGTCGATTATTGTCAACTTAATCAAACTTGAGATAAAACAGAATATTTTTGCAAATAGCTGTCTATAAGGAAAATACCAGAAGTAAATAACTGTGTAAATGAAGATTATTTAAGTATGTGTTTATTTGTTGCTCAGAGCACTACACATGGCTGCTAGGTATGGGCTGGTGGCAGTGACACGGCGACTGCTAGAGAAGGGAGCATCGGTACACATCGTAGACAGTGACGGACTGACTCCAGCTCTAGCATGTGCACCTAGTCCAGCCATAGCACAGTGTCTGTCTCTCATATTGGCAACAACCAGTCAACCTCAGCCTCAGAACAGTAAGTCAAACAATACAGTTTTATTACAAATTCTAACTTTATTTCTAAAGTGGTCTCTACTCTGTAATGGTATTGTAATGGCAAACACTTTATGTACAGATTTCAAGAAGTACACAATGTCGCTGCCACTCTTAAACCCGTCAATGAGCTACCCTTCAGACTGCAGCTTGTTGCGAACTGCTTACAGTCACAGTAGCGACTCTGACTTCTACTGAGCAGTGGGCAGTGCTACCAACTGTGCCAACACTAGATGTTCCCAGAAGCTGCCTACTCCTGAGCCTTGTTTACATTCCAAGTGCCTTCCCGCCACTGCTTCTCATGCCACACTTACTGCTCAGTGCTCACTGAGGTCAGGAATAATCGTCTTGGAAACATTATTGTACTTTATTTATCACTACTTACTGTCTGTTAGTTATTTGATTGTTTAACGCCCTTTTTCAAGTATTGGAACACCTTAAATTGTTCCATAACGTATGGAATACTGTGATACATATTGCAAATTAGCATCTCCTTTAACTTTTGTGTCTACTTATTCAATTTTTAAGTTTTATGTGTAAAGTTTTATTTTAATAGACTACCTATACATTTTTTGACGCATGATCACAAAAATATGATTTAGATTTGAATTAGTTGACAAATTATTTTATATATTCGTAAATGAGTACAGGTGCTCACTTTGTGATCAAGTTATGTAATATCATCCTGTACGCTAGTATTCTTTTAGATATACCTTTGACTGTATAGGTAGAACTAGATATTCCATTTCCATGTGAAGATTGTCGCCAGTTTTGGAACAATAATTAACGTAGTTGAACTGAGTCACAGAAAGAATGTGTTGATGTGAATTACGGATTGTCAAATATGCAAACTTTTTAACACTAATACCGAAACCCTACTCAGGCTGATGCTAACCCGCTAACCGAAACTTCCGGTCTGTGAGACCCCATTTGAAAATAATGGACCTCGCTTAGAAACACACATACCAAAACCCTGGACCTGTGAGACCCCGCTTTAAAATACACTAACGCTGGGCTTCTGAGACAGGCGTGTTATGAACAGACAACATGTCAAGGTCACGGCACCCACGCAAAATGAACAAAAAGTACATTAACAGGTAGGGGAGAAAAAAAGAAAGGTATTGGGGGAATGGAATCCCCCAAGTAAACAGTGTTGCCAACATGCGGTTGTGAAAATTCCCGTGGGTCTGTTAGACCGGGGTTTCGGTAAAAGTGTTAACCAAGCTTTAAATGGACAGTTCACTGGAAAGTTTAGCATATGCCACATAAACTATCGTAGTACTTATCAAAAGCTGAGGGAAAATGGAAGTTTAGACTAGCGCACTCTGTGGGTTGCTAATTAGACTATGTTCTTTCTAAATAAAAAGTGGCCACAACTGGATCATATAGATGGGATATCTACTTCAGTATCTAAAGTTAATGGTGCTCCCTAGGAGTAGATTTGTGTTGACATGGGCTGAGGGAGGGCAGCTTCCCCTACATATCCTGTTAGTTAGCATTCCTGGTGCCTCAACTGTTTGCTCAACGCAGCTGGACTTGTACATTAGCTTCTCGGCGTTGCTGACTGTCAGCTCATCTGTCTCAACTCTTACTTTTCTACCAGCTTTGCTCAATATAAAATCAATGTGGTTTTTTATTTGAGACAAAATTTATGTTTATTTTATTCAGTTAAATTAGACTTGCACAATTTGAAACTTTGGCTTTGTTTACTTATTTGCCAGTTCAGCCATATTAAGTGTAACATTTTCCTAGACCTGTTTTACATTTGACAGTTTTGGTTTTAAGCAGAAAAACTTACGTACATGTAGATGTCGACTAAGCCTACTCAATTCCTCTTCCTTCACCATCTGCCATCTATTTCACTGCATCTATCCATCTTCTTCTAGGTCTACCTCAATCCTGAACACTCCATTATTTTAGGAATTCCCTATTCTCACTTGTCCAAAACATTTTTGTCTTGCTATTTCTACCTCCCTCCTAAGCTGTCTTCAACTACCTCTCTTCTGATCTCTTATTCTACTTTAATAACTTTTACAATTCTCATTTAAGGAACGTATAATTTTTACTGATAATTACAAAAGTTGAGTTGAGACAAGAGCTTGGTTAGGTATGCAACTGCCAATACTGTGGGAATCAATGTGATAAAGTGCTTTATGTACCACCTCTCTCATACCTGGATATCGTGTTGTAGATGTAATATACAGTGTCTATGTTCTGTGTTCCATATTGTGATACATATGATTGTGATGTGCCGAATTAGTTGATACATTATAGTTTGTTATTTTGTACAGATCGCAGATTAATCTACTTTCATTACCGGTCATTTATATATTTTATAGAGTAGTTCTTCTCAAGCGATACTTATGATACCAAAAATTCCCTCCAGTAAACGTAGCAAATATTGTTACATGTTTTAGCTTTAAAGCTGTTGTACAATAAGAAATTTGGTATTTGTCACGTGCTATAGAAATAACTGATGGTTAGCCATCTATAACAGGCTATAGTCACATAGAAGTAAGGTACAGAGGAAACATGCTTATGGGACAACCGTGCGCTTTGAAGCTCTAGAAAGTTGTGCCAGAAATATACTTGTAACAAACAAGGAAGAGCCCGAACGGCAAATTCTTTGCGGAAATTCCTATTGCACAGAGCACAGGGTCTTCCTTTACCATGAGCGTTGTAGTACGTACATGAGGACAGGGTGGGGTGGTGTTGGAATTTGTGCTAGACACCAGCAGTAATGCTAGACACCACTTAAGTGTACCATGGAGTATATCCTCTGTTCCTCACTTTTCTGTGCTTTAGCATACTCAAAACCTGTATTTAGATTTCTAATTTCACTCATGATTGAATGCATTAAGTGATGCTATTGTATGTAGTAAATGATATAAACACTGTCAAAGGATCAACCTCATGTTTTCATAAAGAAAAAAATCTTAAACTCGTCACAGTTAGGTAAAAGATCATTGTGTGGCTATTTATAATGTTGGTAATTTGCTCAGTGTTGTTCAGGTTGGTAGGTACCCAAAAGTAAGTAGAAATATTTTTTAATACAGTAGAACCTCTCATATCCGACCATGACGAGACCGGGCCGTGATCGAAATGGCTAAAAAGTCTGAAATCAGAAGGAGCATAACTTTCGATCTCGGTGTCACCAGTAATTGTCTCCCGCAACCACGGCAACACCCGTGAGCAAACCTTGTGGTCTTGGCAATACCAGTATTTGTCTCCCGCGACTACAGCAACACCCGTGAGCAAACCTTTTGGTCTTGGCAATACCAGTAACTGTCTCCCGCGACTACGGCAACACCCGTGAGCAAACCTTGTGGTCTCGGCAATACCAGTAATTGTCTCCTGCAACCACAGCAACACCCGTGAGCAAACCTTGTGGTCTTGGCAATACCAGTATTTGTCTTCCGCGACTACGGCAACACCCATGAGCAAACCTTGTGGTCTTGGCAATACCAGTATTTGTCTCCCGCAACTACGGCAACCCCCGTGAGCAAACCTTGTGGTCTCGGCAGTAATTGTCTCCCGCAACCACGTCAACACCCGTGAGCAAACCTTGTGGTCTTGGCAATACCAGTATTTGTCTCCCGCGACTACGGCAACACCCGTGAGCAAACCTTGTGGTCTTGGCAATACCAGTATTTGTCTCCCGCGACTACGGCAACTCCCGGGAGCAAACCTTGTGGTCTTGGCAATACCAGTAATTGTCTCCCGCGACTACGGCAACACCCGTGAGCAAACCTTATGGTCTTGGCAATACCAGTAATTGTCTCCCAAGATCGAGGCAACACTCGTGGAACATGTATTGCTGTCTTGGTGACACCGGTAATCGTTTCCCGGAACTACGACGTTACCCATGAGCATATCTTGCGGTCTCGGCGATACCAGCAACCATCTTCCGAGACCGCGGCAACGTGAGCATGTTTTGAACTGTCTACTGCGACCATGTCATAATGTCTTGTGGTTTCGGCGATAGCGGCCATAGTCTTCTGTGACCACTGCAACACCTGTGAGCATGTCTTGAAATCTTTGGTGACACTAGTATTCGTCATCCGTGATTGCGTTAAAAACAGGAGCACATCTTGCCGTCTCGGAAATAGCGGTTATTGTCTGCTGTGACTATGGCAAACCCCGTGATCGGCCATTCGGATAATCCAACATTTGGTGTTATCGCATCAGACAGGAAACACGTAGACGGTCGGATACCCCGAGGAGTCAGCTGAGGTCGGTTATGAGGGGTACTACTGTATTTGTATGTTATGTTAAAAAAAGCACAATTATCACCTTTAAGTTACATAAAAATTGATTGTGGCAGTTATTGTTTTATCATAAATGGTTCCTATACCATAGTAATTCAGTGTAAAAGCATCTGTTATGTATATAGTTATTTTAATGTAGACAGTTAAACCACTTATTTGTTAATTACATTTACCATAATCAATGATTTGTAATCTTTTATACATTTTACTTTTCTTTTTTTACTATAGTAATTGTTTTTACTTGGTTTTTTAGAACATTTTCAATCCAAATTATTTAGTTGATAGTTTTTATGATATATCCTTTAGATTAGTAGTTTATTTTGAGTCTAGTCTCATGTATTGTATGTTGTGATCACGGCTTCTTTTGAAATTTTAGATGTTCTTCAGTTTTACTTCAATTAATTGGTGGTGTAAAAGCCTGGAATTTTTATTGAGGCTTTAAAAAAGCTTAGGCATTGAACCAATAAAAAAGGTAAAATCAAATTTACTAACAGCACCTCAGCTTGAACATTAAACAAACAAATATTAATGACCAGAAATTAAACAAATAGGGATGCACTAAAGGATTGATTTTGAGGACGGTAAAACACCTTTCTAGGCTGTTAAAATTTAATCTACTCTTATGATTATGGTGGTTCCCACGTGCCACGATAGATCATTTCCTGTAACAGTGGCAATATCATGCATGATAAGCTCCTGTGTAAATGTAGGGCTTATCCCAACTCTGCGCGGTGTTTATATATTCCAAAGTCTTAGTTAATACATAAACAATAACCTAACCTAACCTGTCACATGAATAAAGTAGCCTTGAACAAAGTAAAGTGTATCATTACTTTTGGGAGTTTGACTATACACACTAAAAGTGACCACCGCGCGGAGTTTGACTATCCTTCTAAATGTCATCTACGATTGTGATTATGTTCAGTTGAGGTATTCCCATCGCATGACGTTCGCCTTGAATGTGAGGCACTCGGACACCTCTAAATAAACTCTACATTCCATAAAGTTAAATTGCTCATAAAATGTTTGTTTGTTAACCCAGTTTGTACAAATTTAACTACAATAGACAAACAATTAAAAAGAAGGTGTGATCTTTTAAATATGTTTTGTAATAATTTCCAATTGTGTACTTGAGTTGGTTAAGTTTTGTTACTCCTGTGTAGGATACTCTACGATATTTATAAGCAATATTGCAGGCAATTTATTGTTACAATTTGGCTTGTAATTTTCATAATGTTAACTTCTAATGTTGCCATACTAATTAACAGTATTAATGATTGTACACAATATATATGTTTTGTATGCGTTTGTATAGCTGAACTATCAGACTGTTTTAACTGGTTTGTTTGATTTTATCACAGTTAAAGTTATTAGTTGTGTAGTATAAAGTGTTGGTGAGTGAATGGTAGAGGTATGTTTATCTGTGACATTATTAATTTTATTGCTTTGTTCAACAATAGTTACCCCTCTCGGTTGACCCTGTGTGATGTGATGTATTCTTGTTATGATCAAATGTCCCTTTCCAAAGACACTTTATTTGCGGAAATATTGAAATTCCCAGCTTCGAAGTATCTTGCCAATTGTAACATAATTTATTTATGCTAATTTATTAACTTTGCCAATTTTGTGTTGTTCAGTCTCAAAGAGTTGTGCAGCACATGTAAATAACTGTCAAAACTAATAAAGTAGGTACTCAAATCTCGGTTGTTTAAAAATTAAGGTGCATTAAAATATTTTCAGCTGTTTTGAAAATGAAAATTACTTTAGTATCTGTGCAATTTGAATAAGTCTTTTATTGTTAAAAAGTAAATACTCGATTTTTTTATTTGTTACGATTGTTTTTGCTTTTAGTATGCTATAAAATAAATCTTTCTTTTGCTGTTGAATCTTGCTGATCAGTATTTAGATGGTTATAAAATCCAAAGTTTGTTATTTTGTCAAATCAATTATGACCATGTTCTTTTACAGTAATAATTTTTCTGATCATTTTATGCATGCGTATAAATGATCAGTAACATTTAGGCTTTAATTTAAGCATAAAACACATTTTTGTGTTCCTTATGGTAGCACACCTAAGTACTGTGTAATTATATTATTTGCATCAAACCAAGTATAATGGAATTTTCTTATCTGTTTAAAAAAAAAATAAGCAACTGGAATTTTGCTTAGCATGCAGGATTGCAGGATTAGTTAATTGGAATCAAAGTTGTAAGTGATCTCTGGAGCCTTTATTGTATTTATTGTATGTATAACTTAGTAAAAGTGCTAAATGGCCAATAGGCAGGCATTTATGTGTATTGTTATTATCAGAATTGTGCATATATTTTCTAACATTAATCTCAATCCTTGTCAAACTTTATAATACAAAGTTGTTTTCTTCTTACGTCACATTATTTAGTCCTTATACAGCTGTTATACTTGGTGTCCTGGTGTTTACTTTGTTGTGTATCCTAACAATTTTACACTTATGTTAGTTTCATAAAAGCAAGGACTTTATTTCTAAGTGCTCTTATGATTGTTGTTTTATGTGTCTTCCGGCAAATAAGACTGACCTTAGTTTTCCCTCTTGTATTTTAAATTTAGTCCAGCTATTTAAAAAAAGTACTTAGTACTCTTCCAAGTGCCAAGCTCTGTTGCATTAATGTTATCTTTTAATTGGGGGTATAACTTTTCTTTTTGTTGTGAATTTATTTTGCAGAAATATATTGTCATCAGCTGATAAATTTTTTGTCCTTGTTTTACTTAAAACGGTCAAACGATGATTATAAAAATTTGCAAATCATTTGTCACACAATTTCTGAAGTTTGCAAGTTTCTTATCTTCTCAGTTCTTACAATATTCGTTGTATTAGTCAGAGAGTAGATTTTTCCATCTGGGTTGAGCCCACTTTACATAAAGTGATAATTTGAACTTGATACTTGGCTATGAATGTGAGTTAATTTACTAAACACTATAACCCCTCTGATCTTGATCAAACATAACTTGATAAATTTTAGTTAGTAAATCTCAATTTTCTAGTCATTAAAGCACAAGTTGCAAATTTAAGATCTCAAACTAGTTGGACTAAATTTTTCAAATCTATTTATTTCAGTTACCACTTCTACTCATGTCTTATGCAATTCAAGTATCTCTACGAGCCGATATGTGCCACAAGTTGTTTGGTACTTGCGATATTTTCGTGTTTTTAATGCATCATGAAATCTGCAATCAATTGAGATGTTTTATACTTACATAGATTATGATTTAGCATTTATTGAAAATGAAGTAGGTAAGTTATGTATTGTTAACTGTACAAAGGTATTTGTATGCATTAATCTTAAGTGCATTTGTAATTTAATAAGGAAACAGCTTATTTGTTTGCAATGGTTTAGTAAATTGGCACTATAAATAATTTGTGAATTTACTTTTCCTCATAATACCAATATATATAATACATCAATATAGTTTTATAGTCCAATACATCGGTTTTCACTATTGTATTTTTATGGACCCATTTCTGTATTTGGTTCTTCGGTTGACTGTAGAAAGAGAATCCTAATTATTTGGCATTGATTCAATTTCAGACCGACCCAATTGTGTCTAAGTGTGGATAAAGTTTGATAAATTACTGTTGAAACATCTTTACTTATAATCATAAAAACTGCTATTCATAAAATGTCAATGGAGGTTATAGGTATTGGACATGACTCAAATTAGAGTAAGGAATTGGTTTATCTTTAAAAGATTAATTTAATCAATCAACTCAAATGTCGTCAATCATTTGCTCATTACATCAATCTAAAAGCCAGATCAAAAAATGTTAATCCCTGAAGATCCTTTGAGCAAGTATATATACGGTGGTTTTGCACAGCCCAATAAACCTCTGCAATTGAAATCCTTGATCGCTGACACAAGATCGGCTGTGGTGAGACAGTTAATGCCCACTGCTCACTCTTCAAGTGTTAAGTCACAAAGTTCCTACCGAGATCCACAGCAAAGGAGACTTACTGTATATCCATGTCTGTTTCTGACTTTCAGAAACTGTTTGAAATTGCAGCATCCACCATTGCAAACCTTGAGATGATTTTGATTCTATTTATTAATTTTTTTACATATTTTTACTATTTAATAACTGACTATTGGATGAGAACCATATGGAGAATATAATGGATAAATCAAATATGTATTGCATAATAACAATCAAGAAAGTCTTTATTCGACAGCAGCATGAAAAAACATAGGCCTACACGACATTGTAATGCATTAGACATAACTTTTATTTTGTAATGACATCAATAGCATAACTTTGTTTTAAACCAACAAATTCAATTTTGAGTATAAATATAAAAAAACTCACTTAACTAACTAAATTCAAAATTGTCAAGATGTAAAAGACTTGTTACACAAAACCATGACCGGTTGGTCATTGTAATAATTCATCAAATACACGATTGACTCATTCATAGAGCACAGTGAACAACTAAATTTAAACAATACTAAATCTGTAGCAACATAATTAAATTGTTTATTCAGGAAAAGGAAGATCCTGAAAATAACAGAAAATAATTCCCTTATCATTTAAAGCTGAATAATTTTTTCGGCTGGCACACATTTAGGGAAACATATCATTCCACTTTGACCTGTGGACTGACGATGAGTTCCAAGTGTGCAGGGTCCAGCATGTGTTCGGTGAAGGCTATAAAGCTAACAAAGTCGATGTCACAGTGGGTGCATTTGAATGTGTTTGTTCCCAAGTCCTGTGTGGCCAGCTCCATAAGTTTCTGTGTGAGCTCCTGCTGAGCAGCCAGCATCAGATGATGTTTGCTGTTCTGATGCTCTCTTCCCGTCACTTGGTCCATACAGATGTCGCACACGTGGCAATACCACATGCCTTGTGTGATGGGGAGGTCACATTTTGGATCAGACAAAGTCATGTGTTTTTGGGTAAAATGGTGCTCCAAGTAATCTTTCCTATCGTTACACTGTTTCCTACATGTAAAACAGTAAAAGTAAATCTTCTCTGGAACAACTTTGTCCCCCTCGACATTCAACATGCACAGAAGATGTCTTTTAGTTTCCTTGTGCTCTTCATACTCTTCTTCGGTCTCAAATGTCGCGTCAAAGCAAGGTCCACACGTCCATTTGTCAGGTTCGGTTTTAACTTTGTCAAGAGATATTCCACACTCGTTTCCAAAAGTTATAGTTTCCTGTTTAACTAAAACAAAATACAAAAATTACAAACTTTTTTGAACATGGTACTTGAGAAGTTGAATTTATTAAGTTAACATGGTCCACTTGTTTTGCTTTTAATACTAAAACCAGCTGTTGGACTATTATGCAGTTATATGGTAAAAAACAGTTATATGGTGTGAATTATTGATGAAGGAAGTTAAACAATTACAAATTTTTTGACCATCTAAATTTTTGTTAACTTACCGTAGCTAAGTTTTTAATACTAACTTGATGCTGAAGATCATGAGTGGGCTTAAGTACACACTATATCATAAAGAACGGTCACATAACAACACAATGGGATGAGTATAGATCTCTAAAGCAATAATACAATTCTAAACAAGTTCGCTACCACAATAGTACTAAATTTTTCATTCATATGGACCAGCGACGCACATATGCAACAGAGTCACATTAAAATAGACTGACGTCGCATATTTGCATAGGTGTTTCAATGTTATTAAACAGCTTATATCTTCATAAAGGTCTATTTGAAGGCCTGGAATTCTGTGCAGTGGTCTACAGGGATGTCTGTCAAAACAGTTTTTTACTTTGCTGCATCACTGGCCCGTGATCTACTAATTAAGTGACACCCGGTCTACGTGTGATATTAAAAGGTATACCTCGGTCCGTGGCAATGACCGCAGCATCGCATATATGTGGCGATCGGTAGCGAACATGTTAAACAGTTACAGACTGATAATGATTACCTTTCATGACTTCTGGCCTTGAGGCACTTTGTTGTCGTTTCATCTCATGTTCCTTACCAGTCATGTGTTTATAAAAATCTGTAAATGAACTGTAGACCACACCGCATATTTCACATGACGCTGTAAAAAACAACACCTTTTGTTAGTAATAAATCAAATGACATCCACCACGAACAAGTTCTAAAGCAATAAGATATTAATCAACAAAAAAATTTGGCCTGCATAAACAAATAAGAGTGTAGCACTTTAAACAATTTAAGGAACAATTCAAAAAACTTAATCTATGTAAGGAGGCCTACAATCAAGAGTTGGTAACTGTAAAATAAAATGTATATTACTTCTGAATTAATTAGTGCTTTATTAGTACCACCTTTGACTTAAATCAAATTTGAAAACATACACAGTACAATTTAAATAGATTGCATCCCACAGGCAGCTCAACCAATAAATTGATTGTCCCCTAACAATTTGATGTTCCTACGCAACTAAACGCAAATTTACATTTACAAAGTACATTGAAAATAATGGACCCCACTTAGAAACACACAAACCAAAACCCTGGGCCTGTGAAACCCCGCTTTAAAATACACTAATGCTGGGCTTCTGAGACGGGTATGTTATGAACAGACAACCTGTCAAGGTCACGGCACCCACGCAAAATGAACAAACAATATATCATCAGGTAGGGGAAGAAAAGGGGGGAAGGTATTGGGGGAATGGAATCCCCAAGTAAACAGTGTTGCCAACATGCATTTGTGAAAATTCCCGTGGGCCTGTCAGACCGGGGTTTGGGTTAAAGTGTTAGGTTACTTATTTATTCCCTTAGAATCCATCAATCCAATGCCTAACTCACAGGCTTTATTCACCCAACTTGTACTGAAAAAAGGCTACTTACCTTGCTTGAATTCAAGTTCTAAGGTTTTCAATACTTTGGCATGTGCTTTGCCGTCACAATGAAGGTTGTAAAGATATTTACTTGCAAGAGACACGTTGCAAAAGTCACACTTGTATGGCCGGTCTGTAAACAACCAGGTAAACACATCAAATGAGAGACTAAGAAACTCATCTATTGAGCATTGATAAAATATGTAGCTGTTCGAGAATAATTAGATTGATAAGTCGTGATGTGTTCTTGACATTTTTACTGTAATGTCAGCAATTTTTAGCAGTTTAAGTTACTAAAAGCTAAAATTACCACCATTTGGAATCCAAGAAATATTTGTAAAGCAATAGATACTTGTAAACAAAGCTTGCATTATTGCATTTCCTTCTATAGAGAAGATTTACCTATTGTTTAACATTTTATTGTTTTCACAATATTGTTCACAATATCATTCTCCAGCAATAAAGACGAAAAACATAATTTCACTCAATTTAAGTAGGTACAAATTGGAAGATATTTCCTAAGCCGCGTTGACACCAGAGTACAAAACACATTTTTTGAACCTATGTTTACAACAATCTTAAGAATCCTGATTTTTTGTTGACACTGCTTCATTTTCTTAATGTTTACAACAGGAACATTGATGTCCACTGGAAGTGGACGGATCAAAGTATTTTAAACACTTCAGATTAAAATTTGTTGACAACACATGGTCAAAACCCATGTTTCCACTGGAGTTTTTAACAAAACAGCTGAGATTTAAACATTTGATGGTAAACTCTGGTGTAAACGAGGCTTTTTTGAGGCCTGTTAAAACTATTAACAGTACAGTTACAGCATTGAGTATAGTAAACTTCCTCTTATCCGGACACCTTTTAACCGGACATCGGTTTAACTGGACTACTTTCGGCGGAAATGACATCTCTTTAACCGGACAATTTTTATCAGCACATCTTTTTAACCAGACTAGATCGGCAGGAAGTGGGCGATACTGAAATGACCGTTCTCGTGGGATTTGAGACCAGTGAACACAAGCCTAAATACAATGCTCTCCTAAATTTAAGTCAAATACGCATTTAAACGGTACGTTTTAACGAGTTTTCGGGGACGTTGGTTTAAACGGAAAACCCGTTATTTGGACTGGCCTCGGTCCCGAGGAGTCCGGATAAGAGGGAGTCTACTGTACCTATAAACTCTCTGAGTTATTTTCACAAACTCTTGAAATTATAATTCAAACCAACAAATCTGGTCTATGATTTCACAGTTGATAAATATGTATAAAAACATTTTTTGGTACTTTTCTGTTAAAGGGAACATTCATTATTATCGATCTGATTTTTTTCGATATATCGATACTTTTGTTTTCCTTTACCATCCATACCTTCTGTTTTAATATCTTCAAACACATTTATATTGCAAATTGACAACTGATCTTGTTTAGGCAAAACATAAATAAGTAAAACTGTTCTAAACTAACCCAACATACCCAACCAAACTTGCTGGCTTTGCTGTATCATTTCAAAATTTTGTTTGATAACAGAAAAGGCATGTGAGTAATATGAAACGGAATTTGGAAATTTTACAGCAAATTTGGTTGGTTAGGTAAGGTTAGTTTAGAACATTTTTATTTCAATATAATATTTTAAAATTGTTTTTTGATACTGAACAATATTTACTTATCGTAGTTGTCAGCTGACATCTCGTTCATTATCGGATCAAAAATAGAATATCGATGTATCGGAAAGAAATCATCGATAACAATGAATGTTCTCTTTAAAGTACCGATTTTTTTACCAATAATGATGCGTTCACTCTCAGCTCAAAAGTGACGTTTGTAATGCTTACAGTCCATCGATTTCACATAACAAAATTCACATCACACTCAAATTTTATTTCCAATATTTTTAAAGGTTTTGAATACTATTTCATGATTGGAAAAATATTGTATATGAAATTATTAACTTTTAAACATAACTCATATTTTATGGCCCAGGGACAACTCCAATATTAGAGTTCAAATAAAAGGTTAAAATTACCTGTGTAACTGTCGATTGATCCAGTTGAAAATTTTGGATTTCAGGTTTGGATAAATAAGAGTTCATCATAGTTTCAAATGAACATATAAACAAATATTTCTCTTTCTTTCTTTAGCAAACTTTGTTTCAGTTCCTAATTTAGCACAGAAAATTCAATGGAAAATATATAAATATAATATAGCCTATACTTAGTGAATGATGAAAAATTATATAGCTTAAAGTGTTTGATTTTTATGTCAGGATTAGGTACGTAAAATAAAATTGTTTCATATTTTGTACAAACAGTTTTTATTGGTTTATAATAACAATAATAGTTTTTTTAAGTCAAAACAAACAATAGACAAAAACAGCAAAACAGCAATAGACAACACCAAACAGTACACATAAATAAATACAATTATAACTGGGAACTTAATAAATAATATACAAAAAATACAAAAGGCTTTATTAAAAATTTACTGCCATGCCTATAATCCAGATTCCAGACAAGTCATAATGATTTGAATATTTGATTGTGGGGTATAAGCTTTCATCAGCCCCAATAACAGGGCCTGATGTGGCGACGTTGTCCCACAATAATCACGACTTAAAATAAAAATGTTAATGGATCCTGGGTCTGTATCTAACCATGCCACCTACTGTACCTGATTCTTTTCTAGCCAGGGAATTCACTAATAGTGTGACTGGTTGTTTATTATCATAGAAAGTACATTGAAAGTACACACTTGATTCAAGACTATGATTGTGAATGTACATGGATAGTGTATTTGTAAATGTAATTTTAAAATGATGTAATTTTTATGTATTTGAGAAAAGAGCAGCTGGTTAGTGAGTGCTTTAAAACTTGAAGTACGGTATTAGAATTCATTTCCTACAACTGGAACGCTAAATATTAATAAATATTTATGTTATTATTTTACCTTCTGGCTTTCCAATTGATGAGAATGAATAATTTCAATTTCACGTAATTGAAACGCCAGAAGTTAAAAACATCAATATTTACTAGTGAAGATCGGATCCGGATGTCGGACTAACGGATCTGAGCTAGAATTGACGCCTGATCGGATCCACACAAAAATCGAATTCGGGTTGGATCCAGTTTTGATGGACGAAATTTTTTTTACTAGCACAAAATGTCCTTTATAAAGTACAATTCATACATAGGAACAGGCGTTTGTCATAGTGATATATTTTAAAATTAAATTAATAGTTAAAATAAACTTTATTATAGAAGACTATCTGTGTGTCCATGTAAAAGACTAAAAATCAGATTTTGGGCTGGATCCAGTTTTGAATTTTGATAGACCCGATTTTTTATAGATATTTTTTTTACTAACACAAAACGTTCTTCATAATGTACAATTCATAAATAAGAACAGTTTTTCGTCAGAGGTATGTATTTAAAATAAAATTAATAGTTGAAATAATTAAAATAACTTCATATAGAAGACTGTCTGTATCACCATATCTATACCCTAAAACTAAAAAGACTTAAAATATGATTTTGAGCTGGATCTGATTATTATTTTTTTTTTGTTATAACACAAAACATTCTTTATAAAGTACAATTTGTACATAAGAACATGTGTTTGGCATAGTGATGTATTTAAAAATGAAATTATTGGCTAAAATAGTTAAAATAAACTCCATATAGAAGACCATCTGTGTCCATGTACATTGTACAAGACTACCTGTGTCTACATATACAAGACTATCTACGTCCATATACAAGACTATCTGTGTCCCTGTACAAGACTTAAAATGTACATAGATACCCTTTTGGTGGTTGTGCAAACTTAGCAGGAAGTTTCATTTAATGATTTTTTAAACTATAGCGTCCACCAAAAATGAGGGATATATCTAAGCCATATAATTTATAGACGTCGACATATTCTGTGACATTGCCTAGCCATATAAGCTATACTATTCTATATCTTATTACATCAACCTTTAAACATCACCAATTTAATTTAAAACAGTATGATTTAAATTAGATTTTTGTAAATATTACGTTTTATTAAACCCATTCTTATGACAGTACATATCTGGCGTCGAATATTTCAAATATCAAATTTTCAAGATCCGGATATAGTACCGACATTTTGTTGGATAGGCCCATCACTAATATTTACTTAAAAGTATCACTAACCAGTGTGAGAAAGCAGAAATTGCAACAACTGTGAGAGGAAAGCAAGGAATCATGTTGATACTTTACTGTGACTCACCCCCTTCCACCCCCACTACTCCTTTTCAAATTAACAAAGCAATAGAATTAATATTTTTAGTCCGGACAATCCAGAATATGTGGCTAATTTCTTAAAACATTACCACCTTTCTCTAAATTTTTCAATCTTTTTATCCTTTATTGTATTGGTACTCTCCAAACCACGATCCTAGAGACCCGTACTTTCTAAATCCGGCCCTTGTTAACAAACGAGTTTTCAAGTGATGGTAGTAGTAATGATTATTCGAGATTTCAGATCTGAGTTGCGGACATCAACAGACAATATATTGAAAAAAAACTTAATCCTCCGATGATTGTGGCTATTCAAAAACTTGCTCAAACCCTTCATGGGTGTCTTTGATTTTAGAATAAAAACCGTGACACAAAAAGTATGTTTTGTATTCAAACATTAGACAAACAAATTATATATTATATAATTATTAGATAATTATATTATTAATTATTATTGTATTATATATATATATAATACAAAATCCATGTATAATCAATAAAAGTGTATATAAAATAACTAGAACTATGTTCAATAAGTTCCTAAAGTCGGGACCACAAAAGTTTGCAGTTGAGGGAGGAGCCTATTTACCATGTGACTTCGAAGGAGCCAATGAGGACAGTGTGGTATTGGCAAATCTAATAATACCAGCTGATTTGAAAATATTGTTTAGTATTTTTATTATTGTCGTCAATGGGCGATATGGCAACGTCGCACTAGCCTTGTCTTGTGATTGGCTGCAGCCAACTGCTAACTTTTGTAGTCCCGACTGTAGAAAGAGGCACCTGAGATATGGGTACTCTTGAATGACGGCCACCAAAAAAGAATATTTTTCTAAAAAGATAAATGCGTCCGGAGATAAACT